AGAGATAATGAAAAAAAAAACGAAGTTTGTGTTGACAACGGAAAAATATATAGAAATTGACATCGTTTTAAATAAACGTCTATAGTATGCACAGTCTGACATATCTTGACACATTGAACGCCGGCGACTTAAGAGACATTTAAAACCTGAGCGCCGGTAACGTATCAGCCACTTAGCCCAAACATTCATTCGCTTGTATCTGATCAATGAGTAGCTAAAAAAAATATTCAAAATATTATACATTTTCGTAAAATAGTACATTTTAATTACATATTCGTCATATCCAGAAATCCGCATTATTGCGGGGCCGGCGCTCAATGGGGTTAAGTGGCGTGATCTACTCGACACAAACGATGCTTGCCGGCTGGCCATCGAATTCGCGTATCGCTGTGTCCTGCACGTGCACAATGTCACGTGACTAATCCGGTAACGCCAGTGGGAGGGTAATTCTATACCCCTCAATTTCCCCTATTCGGTCGCACTGGTTCCAAATCTCGAAGAACTGAAGTATGATCACGCTTTTTAATTTCGCCACTAGAGGGCAATGAATAGTGGTTAATTGTTTCAGATAGTTCGAAGTATTCATGTGAATACTTAGTAGGCTACTGAACTATATTGAATGTTTAAGTAAACGCTTAAGTAATTAATTGTGAAATAAAACTGAGAAAAAATGTAAAAAAACTTGTTTAAATTGTGATTATACAAAATGATATTACTCGGTAATGTCAATTATTAGTTATGTGTGATACGAAATCTAACATCAAGTAATCTAAAAAGATCTGAACTTGTTTACTGTGATCTCGTCTCTCCTACAATGAATCTACGACTATAAAATACTGTATTTATATAGTTTCACCAATTTCTATTAAAAAACGCAATATATAGGAATAATAAGTTTATTTATTGAAAGCATATAACGATGTTTCTTTATTTTTAATAAAATAATGAACATTGTTCTTGCCTAGATTTTATTTGCATAGAATGACTACGACAATGAATGACATCATTTTAACTTAAGAAAATGAATACCCAATGAAAGTTGGTAGACAATAGACTATTCTTTATTTATTCAATGTTTATTACTTTGTAAACAGGACACATGAAATGCAAAATCCTGTCGCATAAACAATATTACTAAAGGATGTGGCATACATCAAGTAATGCCCCTGTTCAATCTATGTTTCCTGGAAATACTCCCCTTTCAACCTGGTCATCCCATTTTTCTATCCAATCAGTGGGACACATTGTATTGTAAACTCTCTTGAAATATTGACAAGCTTCATATTCCTCGCTATGACGCTTTTTACAGCGATGAAAGTCCACATAGCTAGTGTAACAGTATCTATGTTCAAAATAATATAAATAAGTAATTTTGCGTTGAACGCAAGTCATTACAATAAAGCAAAACATTAACTAATCTTTTTGTTTACCTTGTTTGATTTTGATTTGGAAATCTTGGATCGTATGGCACTGTTTGTGGCTTGAGATCACTCGATCTATTATGGTCAGATAATTCGGTAGATCCAATAGTTGAGAATTTGACCATTTTGTTGCTGCTTAACAAGTTACAAGTTACTTAATCTACTATATTTATTGAACGAGAATACATATTATACCCTCCCTTTTGTCCCCAAAGGCAAACTCTCTATATGTGTCTCTCGCTGTAGTCCATTTGTCTCTTGCACCACTTAACACTATCACAAATAATAGTTGTTTCTTCGCTACAGGTGTTTCCCAATTTCATAATGCTTAACAATGGTACTTATGTTCAGTTATTTTATAATTTGATAAAATGCATTTATAACGACTGACTAAAATATTTGTACATTTTATATCATAGTTGAAAAAGAATATGGATTTATTGCATTTACACTTTTCAGTTGTATGTTTTCTTGTCCAAATAATGGAACACAGTATTCAAAATTCAAAGTTTATCAAAATTTAAAATATTTTGAGCACAAGCAAAGTTTTTAAACCTTGTAAATAACCATCCTGTTACATTTAAACACAATCATGAAAATGTCATAAGGAATAGAGCATCTTTTGAAAGCACATTCATTACAGTTGAAACAGAATAACAAAGTATGAAATGTAAAGTCGAATTCAGCTATTTGACCAGTGGTCTAGTGTTGTCTTCTTCTTGACAACAAACTTCTCTATACTTTTTCACTTCAGCCATGTACAGCGACCAAGCATCCTTGGGCTGTTCAACAGTTTGTTCAGTCTTTGGTTTAGCAACCATTCCAGTTTTTAAAATCCTCCCTCCTCGCCTCTTTCCTACCATTAATGGTGGGGGAACTACACTTTTTTCTTCTAAAACAGAAGTCGTCGGTTTCTGCGTTGGTTGCATTTGTTCCTGCATCTTTTTAAACATTTCCATAAAGCTACCATCATTTTTAAAAGCATTAGATTGTAGAGGAGCAATTGGCTGCTGCACAGTTGTGTCGATATTATCTTCAGGTGTATCCGATTCATATGACTGTGCTCTGTGGTATCTACGGCTTTCCCTGCCTCTATGTCTGTCTCTGCTTCTATTACGGCTACGGCTGCGCCTTCTGTCTCTAGATCTTGACCTACCTCTTGATCTAGATCTGGATCTATCTCTTCTAGAATATTTTCGTGATCGATCCCTGTCCCTGTCTCGATCCTTGTCCTTGTCCGATGACCGAGATCGTCTATGGGATCGACTCGGGGGAGATTTTGAACCACTGCGTCTTCTTCTACGTCTGTCCTGTGGCGAGTCATTTCTGGAAGTTCTACTGCTTCTATAATCCAAAGGTGATGGTGAACGACGCGACGACATTCTGTTTTTGTAGCCATCGTATGCTGTATAAGATGCGCTATACATAGGAGGCGAAGGTGGAGCAGGTGGTGAGTCTGTATTGGACTTGGAGCCACGTTCATGCCGTTTTGAATCCATTGTTGCGCTTGAGTGCCTCTCTCACCAGGCTGAATGGACAGATGGACACCTACAAGGATAGAAACTGCCTTCTATAAGTACACCGCCCATTTCTTCTTACTACGCCTTTATCTGATTGGTTTTAAATGTACGCGTTTGCAAGAGACAAGCGGATTTATGGCGAGAGACCAAATTTTTTTATCAGCATTCAAACAAGAACAGTTCAATCAAAATCTGGATTTAGTTCATTTTGCAGTATTATAGAAAGAAATCCTATGCATCGGATATGTCCTACCATACCTTATTACATAAACAAAAAAATCCAGTTTTGATTGTACATCCTATCTTGTATTACAATTACTTGTGTATCATTTATGCAAAATTATAACATTTTATTTTTACAAATCTTTTTATCATAAAATGTAATTCTATATTGTTATATAATTAATTTGTATTTTACTTTCATTAATAGCTGTTACATAAAAAATGTGTATTACATTCTCAACAATACTTTAAAATACATAGTTCATGACAATCGATTTAACCAATAACAGTATACTTTAAAGTATAATTCTTAGAGTCACTGTTTTAATAGATATTTCGAGCACACTGTCTGAAGGACATTATTGATTAAAAACGGGTTTATTTTATTAACAACAAAGATTCGTGGAATTAAAACTGCGCAAAATTGATTGAACACATTCAATACGACAATATCATAAAAAATTGAATCCTCGATGAAACGATGAATGCTTTTGCCCCTTTTCAAATAATAAGTTTTTACTTTAAATATTAAGAAACATAATTACTCTTAATACATATATGATTAATTCACAACGAATCACGTAGTGCAAAGAATGGTAAGAGGTAATTAGGAATAAGATACACGGAATTTGACGGAAAACCCTTACCCAAAATGAAAGAGGTACTTCAAATTTGTATCTAAGTGAATTCCTACAAAAGTACAATGACAACTTTTAATAATCTACAACTTTGTTGAGTAATTCGTCGCCTAAATATTCTATTATTACGCGAAATAGCTTTATATAAAATACCTTAATCAGTCGAGCGATTGAAAACAAAATGGCCACTAGGCAAACTGCACCAGATTGTTACGTCACACACGTATGCCCAAGACAAAATTAAATCTCATTCTGGAAGGATACGTCAACGGTGTAAAACGCGCTTTAATATTTCTCCGATAGAGAGCGTTGTATTCCAAGAAATTACTAAACGCATAGTAAATAAGTGAGTTATATAAGTATGTAGGTAGTAGTATTCCAGAGGTGCTAACTTACTCCCCTCACGCTAGTAACTCGGAAACAGTATTCCCCATTATCTCTACTGGAGGGGAGTGTCACTAGAGTGCCCGCAGGCACCGATTTAGCACCCTTGTATTAGAAATTACTTTCAATTTGACTGTAATTATTTAAGAATAAAGTTCATCATGAATTTAATAAATAAAAATGTATGAATTGATAATGAAAATACTAATGAGAAATCTGGGAAAATGAAAAAAATCTTATTATAATTTTCAAAATATATTTTGCTTCGCAGAACAGTTCAACACAATCACTTCCGGTAACGATGGCGCCAGGTTCGTTCATTCATATCCGCTCTTCCATTTTCTTTTGGTCATTGCGTGGCGTGTGATTGCGTTCTGATTCACGCATCTCGTTATTGATCGTTACACGCTTTTAAATAATTATTCAGACGTTCAAAATCATATAATTAAAAACACTCACTAGTCTGTACGTTACACAATATCTTCACATTTGATTTCTTTCGAACATTGCAATCGTTTTTAGTTTATGCAGTGCTAATGCGTGGTATTTCAGAAAACTCTCCGACTCTCGTAATGGCGGAGGATTTGGATGTCGAGGCAATGCTGGAGGCGCCATACAAAAAAGGGGTAAGACTTAATTCTTTCTTTTTTGCTTTTCTTTCACTTCTTTTTTTTATGTCTCGGTTTGTTCCCTCGAGGTCCTGTCTCTCTTTTTTTTAATCCTATAAAGCCTAATCTAATCTCGACGCACGCAGAATCCACTTACGGTGGTGCGCTGTTCTGGATGTGTTCAGTTTTGTTGCGTTCGAGAAAGAAAAAAAATAGAAACGTCCGTCCTTACTTTCCTGTATATACATGTAGAACAAAGTACACCCTTGTCTTTCATACCGACTATTGATCAATACCTCCGTTTTCTGTACTTATAGATGGTACGTAACATGTACCCTCGCGCTCGTAGGATGTTCGGCAGCGAGTTCCTAGAATGCACTTGAAATACGAGGTATTAAGAAAAGCCATCACTAACATCATTTTTACTTAATTCTTTTTTTCTTTCTTTATTCTCATTTTTTTCTTTAAGTTTTACTTTCACAGAAAAAGTAAAGTTTATTATTTTCACGACGTAGATAGAATTGCTATTGTCATCTATGTATGACTGTAGGGAAGGAACAGACATGTGGATGGATGTCTTATAATTGTAATAATGTAAAGAAAGAAAGTAAAAGCAAAGTGAATCAATAGGTGCTGTTCTGCCATGTGCCATGCTCTGCTTATTATCTTTATAAAATGCCTAAAAGTATGGGAGAACATGCTGAGCGATTCAAAAGTATATCACATATATAAATTTGTATATACTGTGATTATAATACTCATAATAAAAAAAATACCTTCTACGCATATTTCTTGCATTGTCAAGGAAAATAATAATAATAATAATATTCTGTAACATTTAAAACTAAAGCATTCGTTGATTTTTTAATTTATAGGGATTTTTCATGTGCTTCAGCTATTTCATATATAAATATGTGTGTGTGTGTGTGTATATATACATATATGTATATATATATGCTAACTATTTTTTGAAAAAACAGTGTTGACATATTAAAAGCTAAATGAAATGTCAATATAGCCTTATACCAATGGGGAAGCATATTTAATTAATACAAATATTTATATTATTTAGGAAAAACATAAAAAAAAAGATATTCATCGCATATTATAAAACAGGTCTATCATAATTTTTAAAGAGTTTACTTTCTATACAGTAGTATATATAATATTTAAGATAAAATTGATACAATGCTAATAAAAAGTAATATCGTTATCTTATTCAAACTGGTATTCATCATGAAGACCAAAGATAAAGTATCACCAAAATATTTACTGTATTCTTTGTTTTAACAATTTTTCTAATTTTTCATTGATGAAATATTGTTTATTACAAACTGGAAACTAGTGCTTTACAAATGAAATGCATGGTAAATTGGCGAGCAGGGATAATACTTTACATTTTTTAAATGAGAAAATGTTTTATAAATTCTTTATAATCAAGAATTTTAAGAAAATCATTCATTATTTTCAGATATAAATCATTGATCTCAATATCATTACTATATTTGATACCATTATCATCTTCCCATCACATAAATGCAGCGTATTAAATTCATGTGTCTTTTGATCATCCAAAACATTTTCTCTATACGATAGAGTTATCTCGCAATATGTATCTACTGGAGGCTGCAAATGATCGTTGATCGTTTTGTTCCTTTTACATGGATAGAGATAGATAATTCAATATATATGGAGGGGTTGTAGGCTAGCAATTAGGGTTCACATCTCGTGTTACAATAAAAACGTACTGTCTTTGATGAGGGCTCTCTTTTGCAGAAGAAAAGGGATGTGTGGTTGGCCATTGGTAGTTTAAGACCAAGGCATGCTCAACCCAAGATTGCAATGCTTTCCTAAAACCCGATAAAACGATTGGTAAGTTTGAGTCAGGTGTGCGCGAGGCATCGCGACACTAAGCTCACCCCGTCTGTCTCTCTCTCTTTTTCTTCTCTGTCTCCCCATCTCAGCTCCCAGAGACCAATATAATGTACCTGGAAAAGAGAAAGAGCACAAGAGTGCGCCATCGTTCAGCAGCATATACATCTTCGATAATATAATATAATACTCAAAGGAGAGTTATCAACATGGTTATAAAGATTAACAGAAGAAAGAACTTTATTACCAATATATTTTATTTCTGATACTACTGTCAGACTTTAATTGTACAATTTGTACACAATCTGTTGTTACAAAATTTACTAACGTTCTATGATTTGCTTTTTGTCCCCTTGTTCGCGCGTCCCTGCCACATCGGCTGGCTGGCATGGCATTCAACTGTTTGCTGTTCGTAGGAGCAGGACTCCTCATCCAAAGACAAATCTTCCAAGGAGAATGGGTCTAGCCGTAAAACATCTGGGTAAGTATGTTTGATATGTTATAAATATATTACCTAATGCTTTGTGCTCGTTACTGTGTTCCATAATGTATATGTTTGCCAATATTATTTTCTTTTAAGTTTTTAAACTTTTAAGAGGATCCATTTATCTTCTGTATTTATCGTAGTAATGTACGTTTATGTACATTTAGTTGAGAGCACAAAGTATCGTGTAACGTTAAGTTAAATCTAGAAATACAGTTAGACATTTTCTTATTTTATTCTATACCTCACCCTAAGAATATTTTGTTGTACTGTAATAATTCATTTCTTTAAGTCAATATGTATATAAAACTCAGGGGGAAAGTAAGAGAATTGGATTTTATTTTATTTATTTATTTATTTATTTAATTTTTTTTAATATTCTCCAATCAAAGCTACTATTTTAATGAAATTTAAGTTGTTAATTTATATTTATCCTTTTATCGAACATAAGTTAACTCGATATCCAGTACTCTTATGTAGTATTGTTTCCAATACTGTACTTTTTTCAACAACGCCACATCGACTTTGACCGAACCATACATTGTAAAGTAAAGTTTACAATTAATTGTTTATCAAAATATCAAAACAGTTATTTTGCGCACATATATAGCTACTTGAAGTTATATTCTCTTTGTTATAGACCCCATACAATTAGTGTAAATGCTGGTTATTTTCATAATTCCAAAGGTTAAACCCAAAAATGGTAAGTGTTTAGGAAGAATATCTGTACTACAGATTCTGTTACAAATGTGAAATATAGTAAGTGCTCATCGGTAAAGATTCTAAGTATAAAAAATGGATGAGATTAAGAACAGTATTTTGTAATAATTTTGTGTTTGCAAACAGGGGCTAAATTATTTCTACTTTATTTTTCACAGAGTGTTAAGTACAATTTTGTGTAGAGGTGTAATTATACATTATTAAAAGCTCCATGAGATTAAAAAGAACTAACAAAATTCCTATGTTCACAAAGACTGATTGTTACAAACTTGTTATTTAACTTAAAAAAAAAAGTTCTTACCATTAAGGGTTTCGAGTAGCAGGCTTAAATATTGTATTTTTGTGAAAATTATTTTGTAATACTGAAATTATGTTGCGCAAGCGAAATTTAAATTGATTAACGACATTTATTTAGAATGCATTATATGTAATAATGAATTGTATTAAATCTCTGTGTTCTAAAATTTTCCCTTAATTTTTTATTTTTAGAAAGAGTAAACATCGTTCTCGTTCCCGTTCCCGATCACGAGATCGCAGAGAAAAAGATCGTCGTGATCGTGATAGAGACAGAGACAGGGATCGTGATAGAGACAGAGATCGTGATCGTGATCGTGATCGCGATCGTAGACGAAGATCAAGATCAAGAGATCGAAGGGATCGCGATAGAGACAGAGATAGTGACAGAGATAGGGATCGGCGTGACAGGGACCGAGATCGAGATAGAAGAAGGAAACGATCACTTACACCGATTACACTTCCTAGAGCAAGACCTCCATTTGGAAAAGGTGTTAGCCCGCTTGGAATGTAAGCATTGTTTGGTAATAATTAAATTATGTAACGGATTTATCGAAATATCCTTGTTACTTCTCCAGAAAACCGCAATTCGTTAAAAAGAAGTAATTTTTAATAGTGTATTTTATCCTACTTTATTATAATTTTTATTGTATTGTAGTAGGAACGATGAATTAACACCAGAAGAACGGGACGCCCGAACAGTATTTTGTATGCAATTAAGTCAACGTATACGTGCGCGGGATTTAGAAGAATTTTTCTCCAGTGTTGGCAAAGTTCAAGATGTTCGGCTTATCACGTGCAACAAAACTAGAAGATTTAAGGGAATAGCTTATGTCGAATTTAAGGATCCTGAAAGCGTTACTTTGGTAAGATAGTAAAAATAGTAGTATACTGTGTAAAGACTATTATCAGCAATCGTATTATGCTTATTTTATTTATAGGCTCTTGGGCTATCGGGTCAAAAGCTTCTTGGTGTCCCTATAGTGGTACAGCACACTCAAGCCGAGAAAAATCGTATGGGCAATTCTATGCCGAATCTTATGCCAAAAGGTCAGACGGGACCTATGAGACTTTACGTTGGATCTCTTCATTTTAACATTACCGAAGATATGCTTCGTGGCATCTTCGAACCTTTTGGTAAAATTGACAATATTCAATTGATTATGGATCCAGAAACTGGCCGGAGCAAAGGTTATGGATTCTTAACTGTACGTATGGATAAACATTAAATAAATCACGTATCATATATGTGTTACTTCCTCTAATCCTAAATTTATATGTTTATAGTTTAGAAATGCTGATGACGCAAAAAAAGCTTTAGAACAATTGAATGGCTTTGAACTTGCTGGAAGACCTATGAAAGTTGGTAATGTCACAGAACGTACCGATTTGATACAAGGACCCTCGTTACTCGATACCGACGAACTAGACAGAAGTGGTATTGATTTAGGTGCTACTGGAAGGTAAAAAAAATTCTCGTCTATTGTAAAACGTTGTTTAAATGACGGCAATTTAATATTATGTTTAAAATATGTGTAGGTTGCAATTAATGTTCAAGTTAGCAGAAGGAACTGGACTTGAAATTCCTCCTGCAGCTGCGAACGCTTTAAACATGGCACCTGTTATGTCTACGCCGCAGCCACCACCACAAGCTGCTCCTCCTATTGCAACGCAATGCTTCATGTTGTCGAATATGTTTGACCCACAAAAGTAAGTTACAATACTTAATTTAAATAGCTTAAAGGTGCATATTTGTAGACCCAACGTTGGAATTTTCGTCTTTTCGTTGGGGGAACGTATATGCTATATAAAAGAAGTTAACTTTTAAAATAGTGTCGTACGTATTTTGACATGTACGTATGTCAAACACTGATAACTCGACACATTATACTTTATGGAAGAACATGCTAATGTAAGGGAGTTGAATGGAACATGAGAAAATTACACCATTTTGTTTCAGCGAGACAAATCCAAACTGGGCTAAAGAAATTCGCGATGACGTGATCGAAGAATGCAACAAACATGGTGGCGTATTACACGTCTACGTAGACCAAGCTTCTCCTCAAGGTAACGTGTACGTAAAATGTCCATCAATTGCGACGGCGGTAGCAGCCGTTAACTCGTTACACGGTCGATGGTTTGCTGGTCGTGTAATCACTGCCGCGTATGTACCAGTTGTAAATTATCATTCACTATTTCCGGATGCGATGACCGCCTTACAATTGTTGGTTCCAAGCGCGCCACGAAGAGGAATGTGATCGTAAATACCGAAGAGCACTGTACGAACTTGTAAATTCTTATAGTATTACATCTTTTCTTGTCGATATATTAACATAGAAAGAGGAAAATTTTGTTACTGTAATAATATCGATTGATTTACACGTCAGTGTAACAGAACATGGGAAAATAGTATCGTGATACGTGTTGTCACTCACGTGTTCAGAACTGGAAATGGTTTTTCTTCTGTTTCAATTTAAACGCGATAAATATCTTACAATATGTCAATCAACGAGTATTCAATGCAAATTTTCAATTTGCACATGTTTTTCTATTTATACATCTATAATTTTGACTAACTGACACACAATACAAAAGAATGATCTTCATTACATCTTTTACGTGTTACACATTTAGTATATAAACAAAAAAGTTGACCCTTAAAAATAGTTATTTATTAATGCAATGCATACAATGATTTGTGAATATAATGCATACGTATCCACGTGTCATTGTACTTTTAAACAAGTTTATTGTTATTTGTACAACGCAACGATGAAAAACTGGCTACTTAATATTGTCCATTAAGATTTGTGACCTCACGTAAACGAACCAATTTTGGCGTTTAATCTGTTTTAATAAAAATAAACAAAATGGTAAATGTCGTGGTATATACGAAGCGTATAATATAGAATATTCTCTGAAATTCTATTATCCGACTTAAAAAATTTGCTGAGACTACTTGTTTAGGAAATATATAGATTATTACATTGCCAAGAAAATTCGTATAATAGTCCAGAAAACAAGGGGTCTGCAGGCACTAAATGTCGTCGTTAATATATATACATATATACACAACACATACGCCTTTTTTGTATGATTAAGAACAATAGTGATAATAGCGACGAACATTTTTAATAATGTTGATACTGTTGAAACAATATTAATCGGTGGGAAGCTAATACTTCAGGCTCTAATTATCTCTTGTTCTATTGTTATATATTCTTTTATATAATATATGTAATGGCCTTGTAATCACAGTGTTCGTGAGTTCATCATTTTGTGGAACTTACCGTCAGAGAAACAAATCGTCTTCAACATTCTCAATTACACAGAAGAAATACGAATTTTGACCCCACAGTATTTGTTTAAGAAAAAATTCTATTTAAGTACAGATTTCTAAACAATTCATGAGTCACGCAGGAAGCTTGGTCCACGGTCAGTTAAAATTGTTGTTATGTAGCTATACAATGTGTCAAAAGAAGGGACAATGATTTAGATGATAGTAGTATATTTAACATTTTGTCGTTAATCCTGCAGGCCTCTATTAATGGAGAATCAATTGTCTTAAATTGTACAAAATATTTTGTAAAGTAATACCAGTCGTTCATAAATACAAATATTAAATTAACTTCGTATCACTGAAGTGTGGATGTAGACTTTGATAAATTATACTGTAAAATTAATGTGATACATAACGTGGATCCTTTTCTAGTATACAAATGTAAATGCGCAATCTCCGATATTTGTTCGTTTGTATACGTGATAATTTGGGTGATTGTAATGTGTGTAAGATTTTCATTTCTTACTGTAGAATAGAATACAAAGATTATTTTTTAATCACTCGCTGTATGTATCTGACTTAGACTACAAATGCTATCTTAAAGACACTGAGGTAAAACTACTATGTACGTTTTATAAAAATTCTACAAAGCTGTAATTATTGTTTTACTTTTCGAGGTTCAAGATTCATCACGAAAATGCTGTACGTGCTTGTACTTCTGATACCACGCGAATCCACCAACGCAAGCGTGTTTTTCTTGTCTCATTGTTTCGTATCATATTTTCATAATCCAGTATTATATTCTTTCTTTTCCAATATAAATACAAGACTTATCTGGCTCTGTATCTCTTATTTAGTCATTCATCTTGTAAAGCATAGATTTATTTTGTACAACAAGGAACAACGTCCACTGGTACCATTCCTAGTACCATACCAGACAAGAAAAACGCGTGTGCGTTGTATATCGATTAAACGGTTACGAGTCACAATGTACAATTTAGTAATAAATTAGAAGTTACATTATTGCTTTATAGATATTAGCAGTAGATTTTTTTCACATACCTGTAAAACATCCTTAAATGTATATTATATTGAGAATTCACTAAAACTTCCAAAACCTTGAAAAATCATCGAATTTCAATTGTCGAATCTAAAAATCATAGCTTCCTTAAATTAAAAAGTAATAAATAAATAATTCCATCGTTATTAACTATACAAAAGTGGGAAAATGAAAAAATACGTTCACTCGATATAGAAACAATGTCATTTTTAAGACATGTTAATGTTTACTTTAACCATTTTAAATCTACACATAAGGAAATATGATCACTTGGAGATACTACAGATGGAAGAGCAGTATACAAACTAAGCTCTTCTGCGCTTGGCATTGGGATCACCTGTTCTACTCCTAAATAATCAGTTTGGTAAAATATATAGTCCAAGCATCCAGAATAGGCTGCTGTATAATTTGTGTATTCTGGAATTCCACAAGCACTGGATAAATTAATATCGTGCTTCAAAGTTACATTTTCTACGTTCTCGTTGGAAGCTGTAACATAATAATGAAGAGAACCTTGAAACAAATCCAAAACGTTCTATAGAAATTAATGTACTCTTATAATATTAACTTACTCGATTTCCAATCAGCATAGTCTTCTGGAATATATTTCTGAGTCATCAATTGATAAATACCATTGTTTGGTTCACTATTAAAGTCCCCACAGTAAATGATACTAACATTATATTCTGGATTCTAAAAATGTGTACAATTCTTTAAAGTAAATTATATTCATATAAATTTTTGTTTGAATACTTTTGCAATGTACCTACCTCTTGCTTTGTTTTTTGAGCAAGTGATTGTAGATATACCAGGCAATAATATGCTTGTAATAAACGTATGTGATCTGCATCTGGTCGGAAATATAAATGTGTATTGCCAACAATTAGAATTTCCAAATTTTCCTTAGATCTTAGTGTCAATGTCTACAAAGTAATTCATAAATATTTAAATAACTAAGTAAATAGGAATTATAACGCTTTTAATAATTAAATATAAATTGTTGTATAGTACCTGTACAATTGTATTTCTATTTAAAAATGTTTGTTTCACGTTTTCGTTTTGAATCTGCAACCATATAGTATTAAACCCATTTAAATCTGTATCTTGAGAAATAACTCTACAACTGCAATTCAATTTATCGAATCTATCTTGATTATAGAAAATTGCAAGTCCTTCTCGCATATCATTTTTAAGATTATATATGCTATTGTAATTTAACATAGACAAAAATGATACTAAATCATTTTCATAAATTTTCATATCTACTTCTTGAAGACATATGATGTCTGCATTATATCCTACAATAATTTATTATGATTATTTAAGCACTTTATTTTCACTGTAAATGTTTAACATTCTTTCTTGATTAGAGACAGAAAAGGAGAGTTACCTTTCAATTCTTCAAGAATTAATAATTTCCTATAATCCATAGATAAAGCATACTGTGGACAATAGGGATATAACACATCTTTAGATAAGTCAGTTTCTGAATATATATTTGCCAAAATATTATAGGATGTAACCCTGAAGCTGTAATTAAAATAATTTACAAATGATTGATTTATATCGGCAAAGATTTCAACATCAATTTCCCTGTTAGAAATGTACCTTTTATCCAACAATTTAGTTTGAGTAAAAGTATGTCTACTACTAAAAAGACATGGTCCTGGACCAGCTTCTACTACACCATTAGATGTAACTTCTATCATGGGTCCAACTTGGTCATCCTTTCTTGGTACACACATTATTTTCAATTTACATCCCAAGTCGGACAAAGCTGGTATGAAAAAATAACCTTCTCCAATATGGATCCACCGATTGTTTTCATTTTTATACCAATTAAAGGTTGATTTTGTTTTATCAGCATACGTTAATGTTAATTTTGACGGATAAGTAGGAAAGCCAACCAAAATAATGGATGGTAATGCAATTTTTTTAACATAAGGTATATTATATTTCAATATACATTCTGTATCAAAAATAATTAATTTTAGATTTGATGGGTCCTCTAAAATCGTTTTACAAGTAAGATTTCCATCTAGATCAGAATTATTTCTTACTAATTTAATCGTTTTAGTCTTGATATCAATTGCATTCTGTAAGTTACCAGTACTTTTCTTTTTAAACTTTTTTTTCATAATATAATCATTTATTTTCATGTTTATTCTGGAAAGAAAATTATCTATACGTTCGTCCACATTTCTGTAAAACTTGAATTGTCTATCGATTTTTAAGTCAGTATTAACGTAACGAAGAGACATTTGAAAATTGTTGCTGCCTTCATCGTACATTAAAAAGCCTTCGTTCATATTTGAGGTTGTTTTTGATTGCGAGTATTTCTTAAGCAGATGTTGATTAAACGTTGAGATTGGGTAAAAATAGGTTAGATAATGTGAATACAGATTTCGTGTTAAAGTTAGCATTTCACACCATATTATGTATTATTATAAAATACTCTACAAAATTGAACAAAAAGGTTTTAACGCTCAACGTCTTGAACGCGAAGTATAACCACTGAAGTAATTATTATTCACAAAACATTCAATTTCTGAATTCACAAGTAATAAACATCAACAATACATAATAGTACTTATATGGATACTTATATGCACGTGGTATAAACACTATTTTGAAAAGTACAAGAAACTGTGTAAACTACGATTGCGCGTATTTTTTCATGATATTAGATTGTTTGCAAAGTACCCCTGAACTGATAATATAAACTAATAATTGTTAATTACGGTGTTTTTAACTATAATTTCGCATTATAATAACGCATAAGAAAACAATTAAAAACGTCTGTGACTTTATCTATAGCAAAGTTTCAAGCTATGTAATAATACAGATGAGGTATAAGATAGACATTTCGAGCTAATAGAACTCGGTATCGCGCGTTCTAAATTACCGACTGTGTAAAAAATAAGAGATTTTGGTCTGCCCTCTACGCCAATTAAGATAATTAAATAATTCAAATATACTGAGTTAGAATATTGGTGTTCCAATAAAGCGGTAATCTGATTGGTTATTGAGCATACGCTGTTTGTTATTAATCGAAATGGTAATAATAATGAATCCATAGACGAAATAAAGTAACTGTGCTTTTTGTTCCCCTGCATTGTACCGGTACCCAATATTCTAGCTCTAAACAGTATGTGTTACACATGGCGTGACATTTACTTCGATCATGAGAAGTTTTATTTTTTTCTTCTAGAACTATCCAGAATAGTTGGATTCGTAAGATATGTTTGAAACTTGTGAAACACAAGAATATTGCGACTTAAATTTTGGTGGCGGCAATTGTCAGTCAAACCAGACGCATCAACCAAGTTTTCTTGCGCACGTGTAAAACGATCGAATTGCAAGTAAAGAAATAATTTGTGCAAAATGGTGTGTTTAGATGTAAACGTGCCAGATCCATTTGAAATAGTAGTGGGGACGTATGAGCAATATTTACTCGGTTATAAAGTGAATAATATCGTTAATGTAAGTAACAATATCATTGTTGTTATTTTGAAGGTTATATTCATTTGTACACTGGATGAAATTTTAAAAATATTGTTTATACCATTCGTCAACGTAATTTATATTTGACGAATAATAGATAATTGATCCATTCTTAGGAGTACAAAATGGAAAGAACTTTTGCAACGCATAGTCATATAGCCAGTGTTCGCAGCATCGCAACTAATAAACATTATTTAGCTTCCGGAGGTGCAGATGACTCTATCTGTCTATACGACATGCATCACAGAACAGAGTTTGGTAAACTTGTTCATCACAATGGTAAGCAAAAATGTAACATAATTCGCAATTTATATAATTTTCATTTAAAACAATTTCATTTTCTGTTTTTCATGTTTATATAGACACAGTGAATTGCATCACATTCACTCCGAAAGCAACTCATATGTTTACATGTAGTAACGATGGTAGCATAGCTGCGATACGATGCGGTAATTGGCAAATTGAAAAACATTGGAGAACCGCACACAAAGGATTAGCTGTGAATACGGTGGCTATTCATCCTACAGGAAAAATTGCATTGTCGACTGGAGCAGATGGAATCCTTCGAACTTGGAATTTAGTAAAAGGGAGGCAAGCATACGCAACCAACTTAACGCCTAGATTAAAATTAGATGCTCGCAACGTGACTGTTCTTAAATGGAGTCCTAATGGGGAAAAGTATTTGTTAGCTGTGAATCAACAAATAGACATATATTCCATTGAATTGGCGGGAATCGATAGCAAGATTAAGTTGGATACAAAAATTGTTTGCGTAGAATTTTTAAAGGACGACCTGATCGCTGTAGGGTTAGAGAATGGTCAAATTCGTTTCTACGATCTTGAAAAATCAGAACAAACCGTAGAAGCGATTGCTCACGATATTCGAGTGAAATGTATGAGTTTCATGGGGGATCTGTTGGTCACCGCTTCTAGTTCCGGCGAAATAAAGCTTTGGAGATATAGTAAAAATAGCTTAGACATGTTACAGAGCGTGAATTGTGGCGCTAGAATCACATGCTTGACCCTCACGATCGCGTGCAATAATTTTCTTCGCGATAAAGAAGTTAAATTGGAAGAGGAGAAAGAAGAAGTTGAAAAGAGGAAGTTCAGATTTCGGCAGGAAGTCGTTGTCGAGAAGGAAGGTGATTGGGATGTAACGCCAATCGAAGTTGTTCAGTCGGGTTTGGCTGACAAAAACAAGAAAAAGAGAAGATACGTGGTAGAAGCAGATCACCAGACAGTTGCTGATAAGAAACGGAAAGAGTCAACAACGTTAGAGAAGAAGAAGAAAAAGAGGAAAGAAAGCGTCGAAGAAGAAGAGCGTGATAGAGTCGAGAGCATTCCAAAGAAAAAAAAGAAAGTGAGAAAGGATTGGGTCATCGAAGATGAAAAGAATAAAATGAAGAAGAGAAAGAGAAACATTATTGCTACGGAACAAACAGACGGTTCATCGGTGAAAAAGGCGAAGAAAGCTATAAGATTCGAGAACGAAAATACGCCGGGAACAAATGATGTAACAGCGAATAGTTTAAAAACGAAATCGATACGATCGGAGAAAAATGACGACAAGATATCTGTCAAAAAGAAAAGAAAATCATTCAAGCAACTCGAAGCAATTGGAGTGACTTTGAAGAAAAAGAAGAAAAAGTGAAGCAGCAAATTGGTATTAAACACGCGATGGAGAATAGGCTGGGTCAGTTTGAAAACTGTAATTCATTTTCTATCAAATAATATATACATGTAGATCTATGATCTATAAGTATGTCATCAAGTTACACATTAGTTTCTACGAATCAGTCTGTCCCAAACTCGATACGTTTTGATGTAAATGTATCACAGGCGTGCGTATACCCGAATATCGTAACGTGTACGAACTTGCGATATTACTTATTCTGTAATGTTCGTTTAAGTGATACCATCTTCTTTATCGTTTTTATCGTTCACCACAAAATACACTTATTGACTGGATTCATTGGACTTCCGATCGGACAATTCCACGCTTTTGCGAAATTTGCGTTGTTCGACAGTGTTCCGATAACTCTGAAGTGATTCGGCGGGTGTACTCTTTCTATCAGTATCGATTTTAACGCACTATTAGTATAATTGCCACACCATACCTGTAAATTCAAGATACGCGTGTACATAGAGCATAAAGGATTGTAATGCATATTTGTTGTGTCAAGTTTCATTCTGTTGACATTAGTACTAAAAATGTTGAGTATTCTGTTTGGAAAGTAGATGAAAAATAAAGGGCAGAGAGAAAATGAAAAGGATGAAGATGAAGATATGGTAATTCAGAAATTGGTCGGATATCGGCAGTTCTAAGGAAACTGACTTGCGCGAAACCTAAGAAGAAAAGCTGGTCCTGAGTGTATCCGGCAAATCCAGGCAAAGTTCTACTGACGGTGTCAGATCGGGCTTTGTGCTTTTGGTATGCTCTGTAAGCTTCTCGTATGCCGCCGTTGTCCGCAATATTTTCTCCCTGCGTGTTCACACCGTTTACCTGCAAGTTAAACACGTATTGACTCGTTATCGGTGTATTGCTGTGTATCGAGCCTTGACATGCATACTCTTCCGCTTCCATCAAGCATCGATGCTTACCGTGAAATTTTCGCCCAACTCCGGCACTCGGTAGTTACCATATTGTTTGATTATGCATTCGACTTTTTTCTGATAATGTTGCAACGTTTCCTCACTCCACCATTGCCTCACATTTCCTGCCTCGTCGTACCTACGACCTTGGCAAGGCAAAAAAGGAAGTTGAAAATTAGTTGAAAAATTTGAAATTGTACGAAAAAGTGGATAACGAATTGTTATCGTCGATCACAGATACCTTGGTCGTCGAATCCATGAGTTAGTTCATGACCCATGATCGCGCCCATGGCTCCGTAATTGATGGACCTACGAAAATTCGTGATTCGAAATATTAAAAACCGTTGGAGCCTAAAAGAGGAATGAGTTTGATTCATGCGAGATGCAGTGTCAGTAGATACGTACTCTAGACCGTTTCCATAAAAAGGGGGGTGCAAAATGCCGGCTGGGAAAGCTGGACGCCGTAACCGGGGTCGGAATCGGAACCGGAAACAAACGGAATGTTTTAGTTGAAGGAACAAAATATTCATTTGGCGAGATGCCGATACACGTTTTCGGCTACTCACTGACAGAATTCAATGTAGCGCTATAAAATGCATTCACCGCCGTGCCCGTTGATATCCAGCGACTTTTGTCCGGTTTCTCTCGTAAACTGTTCAAGCTCTTTTTTATCCCTGCATCGGTTAACCTCAGGAACGTTTCGAACAATTTCCCTGATACAATCTCCGACTACGGTAAGAGAAAAAAAAAGAAGGAAAAGAGAAAGAAAACGAAACAGAAATGCGCAATTCCGTATAGTCATTTATAGTATCGTGTGTCATACATTACTCACCCCTTCGTAATACTTGTCCAGTTTGTCGGAATCTGTGATCCATTCTGGAATTCCTACGTACAATCTAGTCGCGTGCAATTTGTCGTGTGCTCGACTTCTCGTGGCAACATCCATCCAGTCGAGTTCCGCGATCATCTCATCGTACGCGTCTTTCACGTCTTGCAACATTTCCAAAGCCTGAAGAATAAGAATTGAAAATTGAAAATTGAAAATTGAAGATTGAAGATTGAAAATTGAAAATTGAAAATTGAAAATTGAAAATTACACCCATACCTTTTTTCGAGTCTGTTCGTTGAGGTACTTTTTCGCGTAGACGTAGCTCAATGCCATGCCGAAGTTCGCGTTCGCGTTTTCGGTACAATCTTTCCATCTGGCTCTCTGCTCCTTCAATCCCAAAACATTTTGTAGGAATTGAAAAACGACATCGCGAAATTGTTGTAACGTTAACGGAGTGACCGTGGAATAAACGCTCCACCATAGGAAACGTTCTGTAACACGACACGAGGATTGATCCTGTCGTTTACGATACGCCGTATTCACGTATTCGTATCGCAAAAAGAAGAAAAGGTGAAACATCGGAGAAGGGATACCTATGGTACGGGCTGGCGTGGTTGCTAATAGTTCCGGTAGTTTCTGTAGAGTATGTAGATTGATCACGATCACGTGGTCAGTTTTGGCGTCGATCGTCACGTTGGTGTTCTCGAATACAGCTTCGATATATCTGGTCCAATTGAACTGTTACATCCGAAAAACCGAGCAACTGATTAGTTAAACAGAAGATTCGAATAGAAACATATCGGTCGTCGAAACTGTAGTCACCCGTCGTGCATACGGATCCGTAAGTTGTTGCAATTCCTCGATGGTTACTTCGTGAAATAAGTAACTTCCGTTCTGCCTTTCCTTCGACGTGTCCATCGTTCTCGCTAGTCTCGTACTAAAATCGAAAATTTCATTGGCAAACGTAACGCTTTCGTTTCCCGCGCCAGCCAGTTCAACCATATTTTTCACGTATTTCTTATATTCGTTTAGTTCCGCGCGAAAACGTTGCGGGTTGAGCAAATAATGCTCGGTTACTCTTGGCGATACCTGAAACCACACGAATCATTATCGAACAGCCGAGCCGTGGGCGTGAGATAAAACGCACGCATGGATAGGAAGAGCACAATCATGGAGAAATCGAAGTCTCTCACTTGTACAGTCCCTCACCGTTATTCTATTTTTTCTGGTATCTTGTAGGTCTTCGCTTACGTAAAACTGGACAAACAGATTCAAGCCTAACATCCTTTGCGCCGCACCCGAGAACCATGAAACGTCGGTGGTCCAGTTACCGACATCCGACGGCGGATCTTTCGATAAACCAAGCTTGATCAACGTTTCATGAATCGGCTTCAATCCCAAAGCTTCGATGCTTGCTGGAGATACCGGAAATATCGGAAATATTGGATTTGACCCCCCTTGACCTTTAGCGCTCGGTCAAATTTTCTTACTTGTATTCATGCACGTTCTGTACAGAGCTCTGGCCAACTTGACTGATTTCGGATCGTACTCTTTATCCGGTTCCTCGAGCAGAATCCTTAGACGTCGAAGCAATTGTTCCCTAAGAAAGCTCATTCGATCCCAATAAGCTTGACTCTGCGGTATAGGATTTTCCGAGATCCAGCCGCCGCAAGCGAATTTATAAAAATCTTGGCATGGATCGACCGATCTGTTCATCGCTTCCAGCATCCTAGCGGCTGAAACGGGGAACGCGAGTTGTCTACCGGCAATGATCATTTTCTCATTGCGAACGCGGAGAAACAATCGTTACATAAAGGATCATTAAAGATTACAACTAAAGAACTAAACGAAGGAAGGAAGGAATGAAAGAAAAGAATGAAAGACCTTGAATTTGTGGGAACGGGATGGTACGCTACAGGAGGATATGAAACGATACGGTACCTGTCTTGACGCATTCCACGTTCTGGCACATCTCTCCGTATTCCTCTCTACGGTAAACAGCTATCTGCAAGGTTAGCGTGACAACTAACGCAACCACGGTCATCACTAACAAGACAATGACCATCACCAGTCTCCTTTCTTTGCCGTACGACTTTTCATTTTCGTTGCTTGGATCGTAGTTGGATCGCCTATTCGAATAAATCGAGGACTGCGTTGTAGAAAAATGTACAATTTACATCGAAACGGAAGAACGGGGCTGCGTACCCGCCTTGACACGCTTTCGTGCTCATCAATCTAACAAGATGGGTACTAAATGTTGCCAATTACCACGAGTGTTTCGAGCTGTTCCCTCTCGTTTCTCCCAATTGCATATCCCTGTCATAGTTCTCCGGATCGTTCACCTGGTAAAAACGAAAGCGCCCATGAACATCAACCGTTATCTCCCCAAGAGATAAGTTTCTCTTCATCGAATCCGACTTGCGTTGATCCGAATAATTCGGATGATTGCTTGATCTACGATATACCACTGGCATGCACCCTTTGAAAAACCATACTCGTTTATTCGGAACGAGCAACCCGCAACCCGCAACATCCCAAGAACTTGGTGAATCGCATCAACGGTCTTTGTTCGCGATTATTTCCGAGATTCGAATTTACGGTTTCACATCATTTAACGCGAATTTCTCCAAGAGACCCGAGACGAAGTTCCCGCTACGCTCCATTTCCTCCTTCAAACGAATGAATAGCCAACGCGAAGGTTTTCGACGCGCGGATCATTCGCGGATGATCTGCGCTTCTTCGTACTCGTCGGTTATGCAATCGAAGGACGCATCTACATAGCATATACTTAAATATATGTGCATCTATGTGCACAGTCGAGAGCGAACTCCGACCAGTTGCAAGACAATCGCGTCATACTGCATGTCGCTTCTTCTGCGAGCGAATTCGTGATTTAACAAGATCCGCAGGATCTTACCTTATATTTCATCTTTTCGTCCGTTTCGCGTTCTCCGATGTTCTATCAGGTCTATCCGCCTATAACAGAGAATCGGCGAAAGAAGTTTTAGCGAAATTCGAATCGGATCGACCAAATTCAATCAGAGCGATCTAAACAAGGAAACATTATAACTAACGCGATTTCACGTCGAACGATAATGCACTCGATCTGTCGTTTACTCGGTTGTTCCTGATTAAGTTCCTGGTCGTATAAAATCCAACGCGTCGAACGATGTGCAATCGAAAAAGACGCGTGAATCGAGCGCGAGTCACGATTCGCTCTCGTTGAAAATCATCTTCTCCAGCGATTTATGCGTTCCAAGCGAACCCGTTTTCATGCACTTGAAAATAAACTGTTAACGAAGGCGGAACGCGAAAAGTTCCTCCGTACCACCGTATATATTGCTATATATTGCTCGAATGAAATAAAAAAAAACATTTTGTAAAGACTCGCATAGGTACTAAGGAAAACATAAAAGAATCACGTATGTCGTTATACACAGTTCGGAATAAGTTGCGATTATTTTTAATTGCGAGATCAGTATTCTCTTCGGCGGAATAAAAATTTACGGAATAAAACCGTTTCAAACGATAACTTAGCCGTGTGTAAAACTCGTAGCCACCATCTAAACACGGGCGTTTATCGTCGGTGATTGTTTCTTCCCGATTATCCGCCTCTACCTCGTAGCTTGTTTCACCTTTAAAAGAAACGTGATACTTCCTGAAGAACCACGTGTACGGAATTTAAGCTCACCTGGCCTCAATGTCACGCGAGATTCGTAATTCTCGCGAAAAGTGGAAGCTTAAATGTTTAAAAGTTTAAATTTGAAAATTCAATTTCAAAAACGCATCATTCTCTCGTCTTCTTCCTCGTGCTCTCGAGATGCGACGACGACGCGATGTTCTTAGGTTTCGCCTCGCATCGGTCGAAGATGCGTTCCTTCTTTCGTTTTTTTCTCTTGCTTGTTCACCGTTAATGGTTTCACGAGTTCGTACTTCCGAGTACCGGGGAAGGATGCGACGCAGACACAGAGTCGATAGATAACTAAATCGATGTTTTGGATTTGCAGCCCGAAGAACGAAGAGCATAATCTTCGAATCCCCTACCACTTCCGCGCCACGATGCCGTTGTTCAACACCGAACGAACCTCCCTCCCCTGCTTTGTCAGACAAATCTCTTAGGCTTGGTTCTTTCGTTGCTCGAGCATTGCTATTCTATATTTTCTTATTTGATTTTCCTAGACAATCCTGACGTGTCTTTCATCTCATCGCGTCACACAATGACAACGATTGCAACGATTCTGGTATTGAACACGAGTTTTCCATTACGTGACAGTAACTCCATTTCATATCATTATTTTCCTCTTATTCTTTACATACGTGTATATATGTGTTCTATTTCCTCGACTTTATATCTTCTCGTAACAAAGGGTTAGTCTATATTAATTAATAAATAATAACGACGCGAACGCTCTGTTGTAATTCTAAACGATACCGCAATCGTGTGTGTTCCGCCACAAATTGTAACCGGATTTCTTCGGTACGGTCCATCGATCTTATTTACAATGTTACATACTATTTCTTCACCGACTACGCTCTGGATCTACGATTCGATGTATTTTATCGCAAAGGCGATAAATATTATTTACTCTGTTTCTGTCTTCCATCCTCTTTGCCCCCTGCTGTGTCTTCATCAACCGCTCATGAGCACACTAGGGAAATCCTCTTCGAGTTCCTTCTGCCGACGAAAACAAAAAAAATTTCTTTTTCTTTCTAAAAATTTTATGTAATTGTCGACAAGCGTCATTGGATAAAAGCAAGTGATAAATTTTCCGCGTAACAAACGTCGAATATATACCGATTATATATCTCTGAACTCGTTCGTCCAACTGTTGAAGAATAGAAAGAACAGAAAGAATATTACATATACGAAAAGCAATAGGTTATATGGTAGCAAGAAAGCGCTTAAGCTTTCAACGAAGCTAGAAACGAATAAAAATATTTTTCAAAGCATCGTTTGATAGTGTTAAGTGGGACAACTACCTCGAATCGTTTGTTCTCGTTATCTACAGTGAGATAAACATGAAATTAATAATAATTGTTTTGACGCAAACGTCCCGTAAATGAAGAACAATGCGAGATTGTTGTCGTCGATCACTGAAAGAGAAATTGTCTCTTGACACCCGAAAGGCAAGGATTCGCTTCGATCGTATCAACAATCTTGCGTATTAGCGTTTTAGGTTTTGTCTTCGTTTTGGATTTTCTCTTCATCTTGGTTTCCATTTTCCATGTTGACCAAATGTAAGGAACTAAATAAATGCTCGAGGACGGAAAAGTTGCGACTACTTTATTAAAAATATAAAACAAAGTAGTCCAGGTACAAAGACGAAACGGTACAAGGTACGCGGTTCGAGCGTATTACCAGTATAAAAACGCTTGTCTATAGCCCCGAACGTTCATTCCTTTTACGCGTCGTCCACGTGGTATCTGCAATAGGCAGAATCCTTGATCAGATCCTGGGGAATCAATTCCTCAACCGGAGATTGATGCGACACAGCACCAGCGTAGCTTTCCGCTTCCTTCAATACTCTCAACAGATTTCCACCGACCAATTTCTTAATGTCCGAAGCCGACCACCTTCGATCCCGAGTCAATTCGGCCAGCAATAGAGGGTAACCAGAAACGTCGGGAAGTTCAACCGGCGGACTAAACAGAAGTAAACCGTAATCGATATAATGAAGCCGTTAATAATATATTATAGTTTGGAAATGCGGATTGCAAAGGTATAAACAACTGAACTCGCTAACCTTAATATACCGTCGTAACCGGCTCCAAGACCCACATGGTTTACACCAGCTATTCGCCGGATATGGTTGATATGAGCTGGAAGAGAAATAAATACACGGGTCGTCTGTTTCTATTAAAGATGAGAGATTTCTCGAAAATATAGTTGATATTTAATGCGACGTCACGCTCATACCTATCACATCGTACATGGATGCCTTGTCGCTGCAGCTTAAATGCGCGCTGTCGAAACTGACCATAACCAGACCACCGTTCACCGACTGAAACAGAAACGAATACGAAAACGTATTCATTCTGAACGATCGCGGGAATCATCTGGGAAACCATGAATATATCGAGTCTCGCCGATGATATTCTCTCCTCACCAAATTACGAAGCACATCGTCCGGAACGTTGCTGGATGAATTACAGAGAGCCTTGGCTGCGCTGTGAGAAAATATTACCGGCGCTTTTGTTATCATCAGAGCATCCCTCATAGTTCTGATCGAGACGTGGGATAGATCCACCAGCATCCCTAAACGATTCAGCTCCTTGACGACCGCTTTGCCGAACGTCGAAAGCCCGTTGCTATGAAAGTCCATCGATGCTATAGAATTCGGGTCTTCGACTGTACACGAGTCTGCCCTGAAAATACGAAATCGATTCACGCGAAATCCTCTTTGCCTCCCTCTTCTTTTCCTTTCTCCTTTCTCCTCGTCTTTCGCGTACGTTTGTTTTCGCGTGATAAACTTACCACGGAGTGTTGCATTTGTGTGTCAAAGTCATATACCTCGCCCCGAGCCGCTGGAAGCTCCTCAGTACCGCCATAGAGGTGCCGATACTGTGGCCACCCTCGATTCCTACTAAACTTCCCATCACACCGTCCTTGTGCGCCTTCTCCAACTCTTTGCTACTGGTCACCAGTCTCATTCGTCTTGGATACTTGGACGCCAATCTACGTACCGCATCGATTTGCTCCAACGTGAGTTGAACAGCGTCGAGAAATTGCGCCTCGCACGGTACGTACACGGACCAGAATTGCCCGCCGACAATGCCTTCGCGCAGTCGCACCAAATCCGTTTGCCACTGAGGGCCCCAGCTTCCGTTGCGTGACAAATTCTCGTCGAACGGGAAGTCTTGCAACTTCATGTCCCCTCGATGCTTCCGAAGATTCCATGCGAAATCGTTATGCCTACAAAATTGTCCTCGATTTCATTGGTCACCGTTCGTTCTTTATCCATCGATATACGGTACGGAATACGATTATGCGGTTACCCGTCGACCAAAGGAGTTTCGGAGAGCATTCGTCGCACCACTTGAAGCCTGGCCTCCAACAAGTGTGAGCTTCGCAGTTCCAAAGCTAAAGGTAAGCCTACACCGGCGACCAGGGCACATCCGAGGAAGAAGAAACCTGCCATCACTATCCACCTTCTCAGCATGCTCTGTCCTGTACACGCGCATGAAACCGGTTAAAGAATTTTCAAAAAGTTTCCCAGAACAAAACGAAAACTCGCCGATGTATCAATTTTGCAATTCAAATGGAATGGGAAAACGGGAATCATTCTCTTTTGCGAGTCCTCTACAGGAAAATAAGGAATGTGAACAAGTGTTTAGTTATATCAAGTACTAGTTTGTTCGTGCTACGAGAGCACACGCATCTTTTCATTTTCATATACTATTTAAATCTATTTCATTAGAAAGGGTTGGATTGTTGGTAGCTTAACAAGTTCGCTCCAATACTTATTTCGATGACGGTTTCCTCAATTATAATATTTTCTTCAATCCAATAAATCTTCTGAACAAAATATTAGAAAAGTGAAACTGAAACGAGCCATTGAGTTACTAAATATAATGTCGTAGTTTATAATTTCTAATAACAATATCTATAGGATTAATATCACAAATATCTGACGCTGGTAGCGAACGTGTTAACTGACCGCTCGACTTGTCGTATTCCATTCCATTCGATTTCAACCATGTATATATATTGGTACCACGTGTATCTTTGGATTGGCGGCATGTCAGAAAAACGTACCGCGTTCTCTCGGTGAATCTTTATCTTTATCCAAGGAAGTGGAAACACCCGAGTCCTTTGCATGATGCAGCGCATCGCCGTTAGGCAGTTTTCTCATTAACTCCGGTGTTGACAACTGCAGGCAAGTCTGCAAACATGTCGTTTCTCGGTAGCTCGCTAGAAAAGGAAAAATCCGGCTTCTATCCGGCGAACCGAAAGCAAGCAAACATAAGCGAACGCGCAGAATTCCTCCCCGACGGACCATCCGCATTACAGTTTATTCACGTAGCCTACCTCGAGTATGTCGACTTCTTTTCTTCTCGGCGGTGGTGACCGATAAACCATACCGTCTTTATTAACTCCGTAAAGTTCGAACATGTTTCCGTGTTTCCGTGAATTCTCCTCCCGCGTTACCTGTACGAAAATCTTTCTGTTCTTTCTCAGAATCGGTACATACCGAAGGGAGCGTCTCTATCCGTGGCATCCGAACGCATGCGCGCCAGTTACCGTATCGACCCGATATCGGCCGACCGATAAACCTCTTTTAAATTCGCCAACTTTCGTCCAATCGGCGACTTTCGAGAGAAATTATCACGACAAGTCGAGTAACTAAGAGTTTACGCGGGTATACGGACTACGTAACGGTTCATCAATCGTCGACCGTTTCTGTTCAAGCGATTCCAAATCAAGAAAATATACTGGAGATTATTATTAGGGGAACGTTTGCCTTTTCCTCTATCGTGATTTTCAATTTCTCATAATCTCTTGTCACGCAGAGATTTATCCTGCTGCAATGTATGTATGAAATGCGTGTACTTTTAATAGAATTTTACCGTAATTTTATCGCAGTTTCAACGGAATTTTCTCAGTATCGAATTGCTCAGTATCGAAACTTTGGAAAAACTGTCCTACTATGGGCACGGCTCGCTACTGAAAGTTTCGTATAATTGTATGCTTTCGTCGTTTCCATTATTCGGTTCTTCATCTTTTGCTTGTTTTCCTCGATGCGTCCAAGTTATTTTCATAATATTTGTAATTTCTCACTAGTTATTTGAAAGGACGGTGTGTCCCGCGGTGATAGAAACGCGCAGGAAACGACGAAATACGCGTCGCTTCCAGGCTGCGCAAAAGGATGTGCGCGATAGACAATTCCCACCGCCGTACACCGCCATATTGTTTGCGGTAATCCCGTGCTAGTTGGTCGATTTGTTCGCGGTCTTGTGACTGTTTCTCTTGTTCGGTGAGTTCCCTCGGGAAAGTTTGCAAACATTTCGCGTAAAAGCAACATGAAGAAAACCAAGGACGTGTCGGACGAGGACGAATATTCCGCGGACGATCCAGAAGAAATGGAGGGAGCTTCTGAGGAAGAGTGGACTCCCGAACCTGGAGTCGAAGTAAGCCCACGCTAACGCTTTTGCTTTCCTTATTCTTACGTATCTTCGATATTTCTTCCTTCGTTTTCTTACCGATTATCATTCTATACCGTTCGATGGAACTTTTAATCCAGATATGAACTTGGGCAAAAACATTAATACGCCATTATTCGTGAGTCAAGATCTGTCAATCGAAATCCTGATTCGATTCGACTCGATTCGATTTCATTTGATTTGATTCGATTTCATTTGATTGCATTTAATTTCATTTAATTTCATTCCATTCCATTTGTTTTCATTTGATTTCATTCGATTCGATCCGGTCCAACATGATCCGATTCGATTCGATCCTTTTCTATTCGATTCGATTCGATTCGATTCGATTCGATCCGATCCGATCCGATTCGATCCTTTTCTATTCGATACGATACGATACGATACGATACGATACGATACGATCCAATCCGATACGATCCGATACGATCCGATCCAATCCGATCCAATCCAATCCGATCCGATCCGATCCGATCCAATCCGATCCCATTCAATTCGATCCGTTGCTTTTCGAAGAAAGTAATCAACAAATTTTCCACGTTCTTTGAAAACTATTCACCCATTTTGATCGAATAATGTTTTGATTTATGTTTATATTTTGTAGTTCATTACGTTATTATCAGATGTACACTGTTTTCTATTAATCTTTTCGAATACGAATCGGTTGTATCGACGCGCTGACAAACACGCTATTCGATATATCGCATATTTCCAAAACTCTTTTAGTTGTTGCTAAAAATTTAGTTTGATTTATAGTAAATATACATTGGAGATCTTTGATGATTAATGGTACAAGAAAGAGGTTCATGGTGATCAAATCACTTTTACGCTCAAAAATATGTTCATTTTTCAATTGTATTTGCGGTACAGCGTCTGTCATTGGTACTAACGCAAATTAATCGTTGCCGGCCGGTTAGTCAGTGGCGCCAGCCAATGAATTTATCAAAACAGTATAGCCATTACACCATACTCATGCATACGTACACTTTGAATTATATTGTTTTTCGATCATTTATTTCGCAATTTCTTTCAAAATATTTTGGGTTACAACCAATCTTCAATGTAAAATACATCTCGTTATTATAAATTATAGCAAAATTGAATATTTTTAATATATTAGTAGTATTCTCAATAGTTATTGTAGCAGCTTATCATTTTCAATTATGATTATTGAATGCAACAAATTTCAATTTATGTTATTAGAGTGGTACTAAGAAGAGACCTCAGAGAGAAGCTGCCAAGAAGCGGCAACATTCAGAAGAAGAGGAAGATGAAGAAGAAGAAGAGGATGAGGAGGAAGATGATGAAGAAGATGACGAGTCCGATTCCGACACAGGAAAAAAGCCCAAAAAGAAAAGACGGTCCAAAAAAGAAGAGGATGAAAAAGAAGACGAAGACGAAGAAGACTCTGACGATAATAGTTTCAATGAATCGTCTGGTGAAACACCAAAGGACTTTACTGTAAGTTAATACGAGTATTCTTTAAATAATAGAGGGACAGCATTGTTTCCATCATTTGCTTTGTCCTCTGTAGTCTGGTGCATTTGTTGTTGCGAAAGCAGACATCGGTGGAAGTACAGAACCGACGTTATGGAGGATAGATGGGAAAGCATTACTCCAGAAGTTTTTACCTTTCAAGGAAGAAGGAAAAACATTGTACAAAAGCACATCGACGGTGAGTTTTAAATCTTTCTTGTGGTTGTTATGAAATCTTCCAACTTCTACTTGTTCTAGTATTCTGGGTGGTCAGTGAATAATAAAGACAAATACTTGGCTGCACAAGTAACTTTCAAAGTTCAAAGTAGAACAGAAACAATTGTTGAACTGCATCTTGATCAACAACAACAAGAAGTTGTAAAGTAAGCTTTTACATTTCTTTATATTTGTACTATATTTAAAGTAAAATTGTAATGAATATCGTTTGTTTCTTTCTATTTTTAGGGAAGAAAAAGAAGACTAAATATAAGATCAGAATTGATCTTATTTGTTTATATACATTTTAAGGTATGCTAAGAAAGAATACATCTACATTCACATGTACACAGTAAACACTACACAAGCATATTACGCAAACACATAGATGCAGTTTACAAAATGATATTCTAGCAGATTCATGTTTAAAAATAAAATTGAGTGGACCATGTATTTCGGTTTGTTGCAAAATGTAGCTTTCCATGTAATTGATGGTGCTATCAAACTTGAATATGCACTTCAATTAACGGTAAAGCCAACTGTAAACCTTCATCATTATCCAGTTATTTAAATATACAATATCCACTCATATTTTATGTTTTATAGTTTTGACAAAAGTTTAATCCCATTACACAGACTGTAAATTATTTTTAAAACGTTGTCTTCTACTTCTTTTCTGGCAACAATTACAGTCATGATCTCAAAATTCACATGGCCATCTACTGTACTTTAAATATTTATATTATTTAGCATTATTTTGAGGAACTAAATCTTACATTGTGTTTATTGTTTAGTCGACGAAATGCAGAACTGTAGATATAGAAATCACAGTGTCAGTTACCGTTTGCGTTATGTTCCTATCATTGTGTAATTTTCCTGAAAAATCATGTCATACCTGATTTTTTATTTTAATCTTTGAGAAACTTTTGTGGCCATAAGTGTGTAATGTATAATGCATTTATGTCGATAGCAATAGTGTGAACGAAGAACTTGTTCCATCACGAATCATGTTCAGTGATATATCGTTGGAACTAGTTTTATGAATACAATGCATTTGTGAAAAAAAAAGAAAGAAAAGAGGGTAAAAACTAATTGTGTTAAATATTTATTCAGTGTTCCCGTATTTGTACATTTTATCGTTTCTTAAACATAACACAAAAACAACTCTCCTGTTTGTATAATCTATGTACATCAAACTTATTGGAATGTAGGCATATGGTAAGAAATATAATTTTCATTATAAGTTTAAAAGTCTAAACATTAAATGATATATTTGAAAAAACCTGAAAAAGCGATTTCTCCCGAAAAATCAGTTCTCTTCTTAAAATTTTAGACAAAATTGAAAAATACATGCTGTGTAGATTTACAGTACTTGTGTCTCTTACATTCATATTTTCTTTAATTAGTTAAGTGTTTATATGTTGAAATATGATATTACCGAAAAGTTCAAATAAAACAATATTCGTTTCATACTACAAATAAATCATTAATTGTAACCACAGACGTGTATAACACAGGATTGGTACAAGCATGTATGAAAACAGCATACACACAACTTTCTTTTATAGTTTATTTTTTCTCCATACTGATTGCATGAACAAATTGTAAAAACATATTGCTTTAAAATTTTAATTCATCAAAACAAAACAAAAATGCAAAATAGTATGAAACTTTAAAGCAAGAAAAAAATATAAAACTTGAAATATTTTTGCTTTTTCTTATCTTTTGATAAAAGATATACTTTGGAAGAATAATATAATTTATTTTTAATGTTTATCTTAATATTGGATCATTGATTAATATTTAAATTCTAATAAATATATTACCTTTTATAATACATAATATTAAAAGAAACGAAATACAATATAAAAAATAGAAATTTTAGTTTTGTGCACTTTGTAGGCATGAGATGATGGTACATAGTTATATCTTTATAAGTTGATGCGATTTTTTGTGTGTCTAATGTGTATCATTAAAAACAAATACGATGTTCACGCGTATCTGGAACGTAATTTATATAATATTAATGTTCACGCTACAAATATAAGCAGTCGTCAAAATACCTATAAAAAATGTTTTCCATTTCGAGAAAAAGATATAAATTTTTGTTTGATCATGTTCCCGATTACAGTCGTATTGAAAATATTAAACTTTGAAAACACCACAAAAACATTTTAACTGTGTGATGTAAAATATTGCACGTAGATAACAATGTTCAGTAATTATCACATTTTTTACTAGTTCATTATGTTTCAATTATAAATGACGAAATACAATAAATTATTATTAATATTAATATTGTTGTTGTTGTTGTTGTTGTTGTTATTGTTATGGATTATTAGCATATCATCGCTGAACAAAATTGCAGCTGAAAATTCTACAAACTTCTTTTACTGGTGGAAACATGATATAGCATTATTACCCTTTGATACTAATAAAATTGAATACACGCAGGGTCATACTGTAAAACTATTCACATGTTGATGTAACAATAATATAATTTTAATCATTTAACAAAGAAATCTATCAAAATTAACAAGTACAATAATAGAATAAAAATATTATTCAAACATAACGAAACACTATAATCATATTTGATAATGAAAACTTGTTTATACCTATCATTATGTATCGAACATTGGTATTTGATTTATACATCTATATAATAAGAATAAAATTTGAAAACATAACAAGATACAAATACATCTTTATTTATAATTGTAAGCATGAAAATGCAACAGTTACAAATAAAGATGTCCCCTCATATATGGATCATTGAAATTAATAGTTATTACAATACTAAATTTACTTCCTGAGATACTTCCGCATACCAGTTTTACTATATGTAGTGTTAAAAAATGCCTTTATAGACCCCTATTTATTGATACATATGAAATAAATATTTCATTTGTCAAATAGATTGAACTGGAACTTGAAATATACTATACGAAATAAAATGTTTTACAAACGATGAAACGATAATCATTGTTATCGCTTGTGTGTTCCAAATAATTCTTTTCACATTATATTTATTTATTCAGATTAAAAACCAGGTTCTAATCGCACGGATAATACGTTGCTTAACATTTCACGGATTTCTGCCATTTCTCTTCTATTCTTTTTTACCATATTCTCAAAATTCTTATTTTCTTGTATAATTTTGTCCACCTTCTCCCAATATTTTGTAGAACCAGAACGACAACAACAACAATTCGTTGTACTCTCTTCATCATCGATACATGTTTGGTTTAAAGATTGATTTTTCTGTCTATCATAATGTTTATCGACATCATGATTTTGCTTTTCTTCGTCAAAACTATTATCTATACAACGGGTACAATCACTTACTTCTGCCGCAAATGTACTTGAACCGTGCGTCATACTATAACTATCGTTTTCGTTTTTTAATCCTACATTTTCAGTGATATTTTTAAGTGAGGTTGTTTGAGTGCTCTTACTATGTACCCGCGTATCTATTTTTTTCTGCGAGTGTATTACTTTCTGTTCCATTGTCTCGGAAGTACGTGTCTTGGAATTGAAATTACAGTAATTGACTGCGTCTACATCACTTACTCTAGTCTGACGTTTCAAGGTTCTCCTTTTCTGTGACAGAATGGACTCATTATTACCATTCTCAGTCGTATGAACAAAGCTATCACTGTGTCTTCGAGACTGCACTATCGGTATATCACTTTCGATTTTCATATCACAGGCCCCATCACTAGCTCTTCGAATATCGGATAAATTTTGCGATGTTATATTTAAAGAGGTATGTTGTTTGAAATCAATACCTTCGTCAAATTTTATGTTAGGTGTATTTATGTACTCCTTATCTGTCTCCAACGGTTCATTAATGTTAGCGTCGCAAATTTCTATACTATCATCAAACGACAATTTCTTTGGTAATATATTGTTGATTTTCTGGATAGCCGTATCTTCGAACATTTTACTGTGATCTACGTTCATGTTTTCTACAGTCCCGAAAAATATTTGTGAATTTCCAATAGAACTAGGTTCACTGTTTATATTATTTTCGCGTATTCTTTTCACATTGGAGGAATTAATTTCAATTAGGTTCCCATCATGTCCAAATGCAAATGATTTTTGTCCTGAAATATATAAATTTTCATTTTATAATGTGTTTAATGAAAGAAATATCTGATACACTTTATTCTTACCAATAATCATACGTTTATTACGCATATCGGGGCTTTTTGAACGTGGTCGTTCCAAAAACTGCCTATTATCCGGTGATAGTACAGAAAGTGTACCACTAGTTTGTTGCAACGGACTGTATTGCTCGTAAGAATTATAGAGTGCATACGGATCTTGTTCATGACTTTCATGTTCTCGTAAGCATTGCATAATTTTTTGTACGATTTCCGACGGTGCTACGTACGGTGAACCTTTAAAGTATAACAACAAATTATTTCATGTTACGTGGTAAGGCACGTGTTACATACGCAGCAACAGCAATAACGTTAATAAACTCATAGTAACAGTAATAGTAATAGGAATAATATAGTAATAATAATAATAATTACGATATTAAAGCAATAAACAATAAATCACGAATTATATACTCCGCATAAAGTGTATAATACTAAAGTATTTAACATTCCTAGTTTTTATGAATGAATGTAATTCTCATTATTACAAGTATTTTCTTCAGACAATGTAATAACGAAAATTAATTTTCATTTATGTTAATGGTACCATAAATTAATAAGAATTTTCTACACACTGTTTTCTTGCGAGTTCAATAAAGAAAAGGATTAAAAATGTTTCAAGCACGTATACATTAAACACACAGCTATCAGAAAATTAAAAATGATGGCATAATTGATAATTTGAATTATGTGTCCTAACTGTCGATAGACTTACAAATTGAATTGGTCCAGAATGTCTGCGACGTGGAAATAATCGAGACACAGATACTGTGCCATCGCTTCCTACAAAATTATTATTTCCATAACATAATATTATTATCGCTTCTACAAATTCATCCACAAAGTTTGTGCAGATCACTCCCCATTAAATGTACTAGCATTCACACATTTACTTATTCATCGTTCATACTTCAACATCTTACACGTGCCTTACCTGTTAATCCTCGATATCCTAACGACACAGAATCAAAGGACTCGCTTGTTTCTTGTTGTTGCTTCACAAAATCATTAATGGCTATGCCCTTTAGCTTTGACGGCTGCAAAAATCTTTTTGGTATACGAGAAAGAGAGCCATTGTCTTGAGGACTACTCGAAGAACCACCAAACCCTAAGCCAAGTAAAACAGCTTCAGGATCTGCTTTTCGTAGTTCTAACAAGCTTTCCACACTACTGCAATGACTGCTATCAGACTGCAAACTTGGATCGCGCATCAGTTTATGAGGCAACGAACTGCAATGAAATGGAACAATGAAATTCTGTATATAAAATTTTGTGCATTTCAAGCAAATTTAATATAGAATTTTTATCCTTTTCTTTTTGAGAATACCTGGGTTGAGCAGATGCATTAATAATCGACATATTAGGAACATTAATAGGCGCAGATATGGTCATTTTTGGGGATTTAACTTCCATAGAATATGGAATATCCTTAGGCTCTGTTGGTGGTAATGAAACAGTAACTTTTCCAAATGGTCCATCTTGATGTTGATTTTCCATTGATAAATTTGATTTTGCAGGTGACGGTAATGAATCAACCCATTGTTGAACCGGGCCAGTTTTACGTCTCATCTCCCAAATTCCACGTAACCAATCTGTTACTTTTAAAATTGTTTCTTTGCCAACGTTCTCTAATAAAGCAAAAATAATTATTAGTGACAAATTTGAAAGAACACATGATATTTCTGATATAAATTGGATTTAAAGTAATAAATTTATTTTTACTTTGAAACAGATGTTTGCTAAATACATACAACTTACTGTATATACATTTGCAGAATTATTTGTATTATTTGCATGCTCGTTAAAAATATTCTACGTACACGACAATTACATAATTATGTGAATTAAGGATTTTGTACTTAACAATCTATGAAAAGAATGTGAAACACTATTTAAATACCTGGATCCATATTCTACGAACAGCACGAACAAAATAATAAAGTAATTAGAATTAAGAAAATTTGAACACTTCTCGTATAAATACGCATTACCTAGTTATTATTTTCATGCAGAATTGCAAGATTGTAATTTGAACGTTCTAAGAACATTAATGTATCGAATATGATAAATGTATACCTACTTTGTAATTAAATGAAATATCACGGTACACGATGCATTCTTATACGAATGAGAACGCTTTTAAACACATATTTAAAGAAGCATCGTACTCCGAACGATTTGTGCTCCGCGATCCCATTGAGAACAAAACGGCCACTTGTTACAGTTGTTACTCACACTATGGGAGTATTCCAGGGCCGTTCGATGCAGTGGCACTGTTCGAATAAAAAAACATATGTTTCTGATCGTTATCACAAGTTTATTTTTTATACATTTTAATGTACAAGGCGTGTATAAACGATTTCTACAATAAAATATTTTTTACTTTCGAATATATGAACTTTTATGGCATGGTTTGATTGATTTAACGTAAACATGTTTCGACTGAACTAAGTATTTGCTCATTGATATACACTTAACGGGGAAGGCAGTTTCAGGAAATGAAATAGTAACTATGCAATATAAAATAAAACCCTCGGAAATTAGTAGAAACCTTAGTCAGTGAAATATAGAAAATTGCATATAATAGATTGTAAGTAACTACATGTATGTAGACTTAATAGCAAGACTGCAAGTGCACGCACGTGTATACATAAAGAGTCGAGAGAGCCAAGTTGTGTAGGTGCATAAGTACGCGTGCAGCAAGTAGTCATTGAAGAGCACGCGAATCTGTAGTGTCAAATTACAAATCGTTACGAAATTTCATGTCATCTCGCGGGAAGAAAAATAAAAAGAAAATATTAACGAGGAGACCTCGTCATGTGGTTGGGAAAGAAGAAAAGTATCGACAAGAAAGGGACAAGTCTGACAAGGAGGATGACGAAGAATCAGGTTAGGAGAAAAAGACGAGACTTTCGGTTATACGGTTTCGAGGAAAACACGAGAACATTGCAATTGAATTTGTTTAGAGGAAAGCGAAGAATGGCCCCTTTCCTTTCCGGTTGCCATGTGGGACCTCGAACAATGCGATCCGAAGAAATGTTCCGGTAGAAAACTCGTTAGGCACGGTCTCGTGAAAATACTGAGGTTAGGTGCTCGATTTCCAGGCCTGGTCCTGACTCCGGTTGGACAAAAGGTATGTACGATGTAAACGATATATAATTCTGCATCTATAACAGACGAAACAACAAGGTGATCCGAATGGTGTTCTGAAAGCGAAGGTATTGTTGCGTTTCAGTGCGTGAGTCCAATCGATCGCGATATTGTACGGGATTACGGTTGCGCGGTTGTCGATTGTAGTTGGGCACGGTTGGACGATACTCCGTTCGGTAGAATGAAAACTCCGAATCCTCGTCTATTGCCGTTTCTAGTCGCCGCAAATCCAATAAATTACGGTAAACCTTGTCAATTGAGTTGCGTAGAAGCAATAGCGGCCGCATTAATCATAACAGGATTTTCCGAGGAAGCCAACTTTTATCTTGGAAAATTTTCCTGGGGCCATTCCTTTTTGAAACTGAACGATGACTTGCTCAAGAAATATTCGCTTTGCGCAAATCCCGAAGAAATCATAGCGGTCCAAGATCAATTTCTCGTTGACGCTAGACAGGAGAGGATAAACAGGATCGGTAACTTTACCATCATTTACGACACACTCGATCCAGACGATAAGCATTCATTTTCTTTTTTCATAGCTTCTTCGGATTTCCCGCCAACCGATTCGGAATCGGAGGAGGCGGATCAAGAGACAAACAACGAGGTGAAAAAGGGGGGACAGGAGGAGGAGGAGGAGGAGGAGGAGAAAAAAGAAGGAAATTCGAGTACCGCGAATACCGATTTGAAAGTAGACGAACGTTTAAAGGATCTAAATATAACATAAAGATTGTACATAAAAATTGGCTTTATCGTTCTCATCCGGAAGAAACGTTGGTTGTGTTATGTGTTTTTATTTCAAGGTATAAACGACGAAACAAATAACGAAAAGAAAAAAAAAGAAAAGAAAAAACGGATCGACACGTTTGCGCCGGTTAACAGAATCTCTCGATGCTATTCCGTTCTCGCGTTTCACGCGAAGTACATTCGAATACCGCGGCTGTAATACGCCGAATAACCGTACCGTTGCGCACGCGTTTCCTCCGTGAGATTCAAGATGGCGGGAGGATATCACGAAAGGCGAAAGCGAAGCGCGATCGGATCGTCGCACAGCTGATAGGAGAGTGACGTCAGTAAAACAAAGCCATGCGCGGTCGATCGGAGCTGCGAACCAGACCGAACGAACTGTACCGTCTCGCTGCCAAACATTGGGCGTCCGCGAAACAGTGAACTGGATTTTCCAAGGTTTCTCGCGGGGGAGAGAGAACCGTACGGTTGCGCGCGTGACTACGCTCGTCTCGCGTTTTCCCTACAGACGATGCCGTTCATATCGAAGGATTGGCGCAGTCCTGGAGAGGAATGGGTCAAGACCGTCGAGGGTTGGGAAAAGAAAAAAATCCTCGAGTGCGCCAACAATAAAACGCTTTCTCTCCTGCTTCGGTAAGTGCGACGCAGAGCAAATGGCTAGTCGCGACTGTTTCGTCTTGACTCTTTCCATCGAACGAGATGTTTTCCATTTTGGGAATGACAACGAACGCTAACGAGCTGTCTCGTTCGAACGGTTAATTACCATTGACAGCTGTTCCATCGATCGAATGACAGTCGGCTCACGGTTTGTTTACAGTTGTGTGCTACCGTCGCGTCGCGTCGCCTCATCTCGCTTCGTTACTCGCCGAGATTACGTTCACCTGACATTTCGCGTAATCGAACCAAGATTCGTCCGCGAACCCATCCATGTTTCCTGGTACGATGTCAACCTTGTCGTTGGCTTTTCTTCCCGTGAACTTTTCGACTCGCTGTCGGCCAAATTTCTCGACAGGTGACGATCAAACTGTCACAGATTATTTTATCGTTGTCAGTGATTTCGTTGCGATGTAAATAAACATGACGCTCGGGAGAATGCAAGTTTGTAATTGTTGACTACGCGCGTCGCGCTCGCGAAGCGTGTATATTATCAACGTTACTGCGTTGGGAACAGCCGATTCGATTCGCGTCAATTCGAATTTCGAGTGCAACTCCAAGCTCGAATAAACCGATCGTTCTTCGAACTGGTCCTCGGGAAACACGGGGCGTCTACTTTCGTAGATCTCTGCTCGCGTCTTTCGTTACGAGTGTACGACGTTGCGTTTCTAATTAACGCTGGACGCGAGGCTCTCCGTAGCCTTTGTTCATCTTTGCACTTATTCCCATTCGTCTACGCTTTCAGAGCTGGAACGCTTCGCGTGATCGTAAAAGTTGCTCCTCTGGGTGCTTACTTACCTGGTACCTACGTTACGTTACCTGCCTAGTAGATTCGTCCGACGAATACATAAGCTTGTGCCTCGTCGAACGAACGATATTCTTTCACAGTGGCTTTCCCTTCTTTCTACTTAACCCTCTACAGGCCTGAGTGACTTCGAAGTCGTATACCAACATATTGGTGTCTCGATGATTTATTTCATTTTGCATAGTACAGTGGCGAAGAAAATGAAGTAATTAATTAGCCCTTAGCACTCCAGGTTGTTTTTTAATCTATCAGCAACTGCAACTAATTGCTATAACATTTCTTCGATCTTTTATTTTCCTTCTTAGTACAGAATTTGGATGTGTGGAGAATCTAATAATTTTAGGGTAGTTTCTTTAAGATTCATTAAAATATTTAATATTATAACTGATGCAATATTGAAGCCTACAGAGTTCAAAGGGTTAAGTTCAACTTTTATATGTTCACACGTGAAAGTTCAACGTCATTGTAGTTTCGAACTTACAAGGTATACTCGTTTTAATACAATCATTAAAACTATCGAATAGATTGTTCATTTGTATTTACAGGTTCATGTTTGTTCATTTGATACTACATACATTTGTTTATAGTGACGAAGAAAAATTCGGCCTATAGAGGGTTAATTTTCTTCACATTTTCGCTGATAACAATCGGTTCAGGAGCAAGCAACACGCGTTCATCGTACATTGCAGTCGTTGCTCGTGGAGTGTAGCAAGTTGATACGCATTCGTTAGCCTTGAGATCCGCAATGGACAAAACCATTACTAAGGATGACGCGACGCGTAGCTTTTCTTTTGTTTCCGCTAAACGGATCTCCAGAAATCTACGTTTCGAAAGATAAAGCGCGCGATTCGTCATAATACACGGGAATTATCACCGAGGAAAAGATATTCCGCGCGACCCCGTCCCGATACGGAAGTAGGTCGTGACCCAGCTAAACCAGATCTGCATCAGTTTCGAGAATCTACTTCCGTTCCATCGAGCCCCGGATACAGTATCCGTGCGGTTCGAAGACGTCCTAGGTCTGTTCGTGTGCGCGTGTAGTTATTCGCATGGTCAAGCATTACGAACACGTATTACCGATAGTTATATAATGCTGCGAACTATGGATGCATGGACTTCTCTCCCTTGTGCCGGCGTGAAAGCGTGTTACAGCGTTACATATAGCGTTACAGCGTTACCGCGTCGCGTGCAAGGTCTCTGCCAGTGATCATGCATCGACCCGAATGACGACGATGCAGCGCAAATCCCACGGAAACGCTTTTCCTTTTCTTCCCTCTTCTTCTTCTGCTTTTACTTGAACAAACGCTTTACTTTTCTTGCTCGGTGAAACGATATTTTTGCAAACTCTAGCTCTTTCGAGAACTCGAAACGAACACTTTCGGTTTCGTTTTGCACGAACGTAATGTTAACCCTTTGCGGACGAACGTTGACATTTTGGCGAGATCAGATTTTCATATTTGGAACAGTACGTGGCAAACGAATGATCTAATTACTCAAACATCAAGAGTACTCGAACAGCAAGTTCCTTATTTTGATTATTTATGCGATTGATATAGAATTTAGCTTCATCTGTTAAAGGTTTTGTATATTTCAAAGAATCTTCGTCCGCAAAGGGTTAAAGAAAATGAATCGGTCCCATTTCTAATCCTCCGCAACAGGCAGAAATGAAAAGGGATCGCTCGTTAGCGTGTTACGCCGACGATTCACTAGCAATTCGTTAACGCGACACGAAGCAACCGATTTGATCGGTTCCGAAGAGGAAAAGGTCGAGATACGATCACCCGATTAGTTGGTTTGACTGTTGCAGCGGTGACAAGGATGCGCTCGATAAAAAGGAGAAGGAGAAAAGAAAGGGTGAGTGGCGACCGTTCGCGTTCGCTAACTCGAAAGGATCAACAGTTTTTCTTTGTTTCGTATAATTTTAGAGAACGTCGTCCAGCCGCATTGCCACATCACGCTCAAGTGCACGCGCGAGGTGAGTGACTCCTTCCAGGCTTATTTATATTTAACTCAGTCCCGCGAAAGGAGAAACGTGCAAGATAGGATTCGTTCGTCGAAAAGGTCGTAGAAGTTTGTTGCCCGCGGATTAATACATGTAAAACGAGGGGTGGATAAACGAAGAACGGTGGATCATAGACGGTGGAAAGTACAATAGAAAGGAGGAAGTGGAAAGTGCAGAGACGAGGGAAAAAAAATGTGTGCTGCTGAGATGGATCGACATTGGTTGGGTTTCGAAATAGTCATGCAACCGCTATTTTTAGATTACAAATGCACCGGCGATCGAAAAGAAACACAAACAAAGAGAAAGGAATAGCGGTGCAGCGAATCGAAATTGTTGTGTTCGCAGATCGCGGGCTTCAACGGATTAAGCGATGCGCTGAAGAGGCTCGACTTTTTATCGGCGGTGCACGATTGTCGACGCTTCAATTATATTGTGCGACTGCTCGATCTTTTGGTCAGCCATAGAATGGGTGGTCTCAGCGGATGCGCTCAGAGAGTACTGTTCAATATGTTGGAAGAAGTCGCGCTGGAAGGTAAGATTTTTATTCGCGAACAATTCGTGTGACAAATAAATTATGTTTATTCGTTTCTGCCTGTTCACAGTATCGTTGTCGCAGCAACAAACTGGAAGGCTTCGTCGTTTGATCGAAAGGGTGCGGGCGTTCAGCGCGGGCTGCTGTTGGGGCGGAAGACCTCTGGGCTCCGTCATCTTGTGGGAGAAACACAAGGCAGCCCTTGAAAGAATTTTGCAAATCGCTTCGTCGATTACCATTACTCAAGTATGTAGACACTCTAGGTCCTGCTAAGAAATCATGGAAAGGAAACTTTTGTTTTCTCCCGTTTCTCTCTTTCTTTCTGTTTCTTTTTTACTTTTCTTTCTTTTTCTGCTTTAGTTTTCATTTCTTCTCTTTTCTTTCTTCAAGCCGGATGAAAAACAGCAACCCCAATGGTCCGACTTGCCCGCCGAATGTCGTCGGGAAGTGCTTCTTCGACTGAGCGATCCACGAGACATCGAAGCTTCTTCGGAAGCCTGCGAACATCTAGCCATCCTGGCTCAGGAACAAAGAATTTGGCGGGAGCTCGCTCAGTATCATTTCACGTCCCAACAGATAACCGCTACCAGACAAAACAATCCTGGAAAAGACTGGAAAACTATATTTACCATTGCTCGAAGGTACGGTGCGCGCGCATAGCTGCCGTTGACCATTGCTTCGCCAATCTTCATCGAGTATACGTTGGTAATATGTGTTCAGGTCGTTTGGGCTCCGGGAAGAATATGCAGAGATGATTCAATTGTGCCGCAATTGCCGTTGCTTGTTTTGGCGGTCGTTGGGTCATCCTTGTATCGCTGACCAGGATCCGGCGTTTCAAGAGAAGTTAGCGGACGTGGATCAAGCCTCCCTTCATGTTCCGATTCCTCCGCAGACTTTCCTCAAGTTCTTCTCGCTATGAACGCTTCATACGCGCCCGTCAAGTTCCAAACGCGATTCGATGCATCGAGACGAGTGTCGAGATCGACCGTGTTCCCGACTGCGATCGCATCTCCTTCTCTATTCCTCGGATGTAGCCGGGGTATAGATGTCCGCGCGGCGCCGTATCCAATCGGAGCAGGCGCTCGCGTTCGAAACGTGTTATTCTTTGCCTAGAGATTTCATCGTTGTCGTGTAAACTTTGAACCAACGATACGCGAAAAGCATCCTTTTCGCATTCGAGCTGTTACTTCGTGCTACAAGACCGCGTTTCTCTGGTCTTGAATCGATTGCAGAAATTGCCAGTCATTTTTTCGTTAGTTTCGTTTCTCGAAAGCTTCGACGTTTTTAACCGCGATGCATGTAATTCGATTGTCTTCCGTAATTTCTTTTCCTGTCCCTCTCCTTTTCCCCTTTCCTTTTTAACAATTAAACGTTCAAAAATCGACGAAACGAATGTACGAATTGAAACTTACAGCGCTCGAAACAAAAATTCGACCAGGACTGCTCAAGATGCATCAATTTTCGCATTTCTATGACGCGTGTATGAACCGTTTAGAAAATTGGACAGTCACTCGCGGTGTAATTTTACCCCGTCTATTGGTAGCTATCGCCATCACACGATTCATTTCCATTTCGGTGAATTTATCTTTCTCTCTGCATTTATTTGAACTTTTCGTGCATTTTTACATTTATTTTCACTACTCATTATCACATATAGATGCGTTTTACGGGCGATACGTTCGACAATGGCTGTTGGTATTTTATCCTCGTTAAAGACGGAAATTGAAAGTTATTTTGAAAGTCAGAAGGAAAATGAATGGGCTCGCAGGTTCACGAAATAAGGGGAGAAACAAATGGAAACACGCATGTATTTTCATTTCTCGCCCGAATACTCGTTAAAAGAATGGTCAAATTCCTATTTACGATGCTTAGTATACAGTTATTGTTTGTATGTATTGGTTTAGCAGTAACGTCGTCGGATTTTCCAAGATATCGCAAATATATAATGTCTAATGACCGTTTCGTTCGAAACGCTGAAAATTATACTGCCAAAATGGATGCTATTGCATTTAGACGAATTGAAGTGTTTTCTGTAATTCCGTTCAAACATACAGCATAGTTGTTTTGATATTACGTTTTTCTCAATGGCAACAATTACGATCGTTACACGCGTGTATACGCATAGTTTATTATATAACTTGAAAAATTAGAAAAAATGGGGCGACCAAACGATGTACACATAAACGCGTATGTTCTTCGGTTAAAAAAAAAATGCAACACGAATTGCAAATTTAAGTGCAAAATTTTAGCAGCTCATCGAACGTTACACTGCTTCATGCACTGACCTGTGCATTCTTGGATCGATATTATTTTACTTACATAAACAACTGTAGATCAGTGTTGTGTAAAATGCTTTGAAATAAAAAATTTACCTGTATATATATATTTATATATATATACATTAAATTGTTTTAATATATATGTATGTAAGTGTGCATACATATATACATATATATTAAAGCTCATTTAAACGTGTATATGTACAATTATCTGTACATACCATGTTCATATTAAAAATTATACTATTTTTCAATTTCCCATTAGTTTTGTACGATACAATTTACTAGTTGAATAAGCTATCTATACTTTTGCTTGTTACTTCTTATAAACGAATCGGTGTGTCTTTGTTTTTTTATATATTATGTATACGCTAAGTATCTTTACCGAATGGACATATATTGATGTTCGTAGGTTTCATTCATAGTAAGTATATGCCGTATAAACGGTAACACATACTAATTCCGTCGCGTCACCGTCACGTCACGCAACGCACACAACGGAAGACCCCTCTTGTCCCTGTGCCTTCCCGGAGGTCTTCTTTCAAACAACGGACGGTATATACTTACTTACATTTGTCCGTATTAACATTTCTCGTAACCTATTCGAGCATTCTAATTATATTAATTAATCTATCAACTTATGTGTTCTTTTTTACGGTGTTTTTAAGTAGACATTACATTCATTTGTTCGCGATATCCAAAGAAATGTCACCGTAGTGACATTCTCCTCGCGTAAAGTTACCCCCTCCATACCTGTTCTCTCGTATTGAACACTACATAGAACTGCTCACATGGCAGTCTCGGGCAGCTGCTTGAGTAGAGGTAGCGGGAGAACGCTGTTTCCGAGTTACTAACGTAAGGGAAGTAAGTTAGACACCTCTGATTTAAACGATCGAAGTTTATGGAAGGTAATATTACAGAAATAGATAGCCATTTCATCGTATATGTCAATATGTAAATAAATTTTTTGTACAAAAATATAATGAACCTTATTGCTAGAAGGTGTTGCGACGAGACAAAATTACAACGCTTCCTTCACTGTAAAAATATATTAATAAGTAATTGTATTTATTTACGGATACTGGTTACGTAAAAGAATAGCGATCTGTATATCGAAATATAAGGGATGCGTGAAACATAAATATTCGTATATATTACAGTCATTCTCGTACTGTACGCATATGACTTACGAGTACAGTTAACAGGAACAATAACACCTATTTATAAAATAAAGTTTTCACATATATATTATGTTGCATATATTATTCCTAATCAGGTCTCTAAATAGTTACATATTGCAATCTTCACTGGAATCTACAGACTTTAAATCTCTTTGCTTTAATTTAACGTATTCTCCGCCCATAGCAACATTCGGATCTACTGATATCGCATCTGTGATTTTTTGTTCCGACAAATACATGTTGATTTTAATTAACGACGTATCTATTAAACCATTTTCAGATTGGTTCGCAATTAATTTTGATTTATCCGTTATACTTTCATCTTTCATATTTTTGTTTTGCTTAGAGCATTCATCATTGTTGTCTTTTACCGTAGAATTTCTTGTTAATCGTTCTGCATTTTTATCAAAAATATCACTTGCAACTTTGGTATCAGTTTTTTCAGAATTTACATTAACTTCACGTTTGTCACGTTCATGATTTTGTAAAATGTCTCTACGAATAGCTTGAACATTTTCTTCCGATCTGTTTCCTAATAAAACAGACACATTTTCCATTTTTGTTTGATTTCGCATTTTTAAAGCAATAGGTACGGAATATTCGTGTTGTGTTTTTCGATTTCTACTATTTAAAATCGATTTTTCTTGTGGGCTAGATGAAATGCCATCAGGTACATTATCACTTTTAGACAGATCTTTATTAGTATCATTATTATTTGCTAAGGGTGCATTCGGAGATGCAGACTTATAAATTTTTCGTTTTGTTAAAATATTTAAAATAGGACCCTTCGGTAACTCTTCTGAATAAATATGTTCTTCTTTTGCAACTTCGATTACCTGTCGATCAATCGCCTGATATTTTGAAAATTTATGGCTCGCAACTTTGGTCAGAAAGGAATTTTTATTTTGAACGTTGGTTTCTACAATTTCTTCATTTCTCAATGGCTTAGCTTTAAGATATTCATCATTTTTCACCTCATTTAATTGTTTGTTGAATACAGTTTTTTCCAATTTTGATTGCAAGGTTTCCTCATTGTTATCTTTTTTTGTTTTACTTAGGAATTCTTTATCTTGTACAACATTTGAAGTTCTAGAATTGTTGTTCCCTTGTAAAACAAATTTTTCATTGTATGTTTCCAATTTCCTTTCATTTTCTTTAAGCACTTGTATATCGTTTGTCATCTTTTGCTCTTGTTTACCACTCTCTTGGTATTGTTTTATCTTCTGATTTATGTTTTCAAGTTTTTTATGTGTTTCTGAAACCAATACATGAACAATTTCTGCATCCGCAGCTAGCTCCGTTTCTTCTTTTTTAATGGCATCAGAATTTATGAGATTCTCATTCCTTTGTGTATCAATGAAATTATTCTTTTTCACTTCTACAATAGTATTTTTCTCTGTTGGTTTCATTGTACTGAATTCTACGTCCAATGTTTTTATTTCATCCATGACGTTTTCAATTACTGGGGCAACAGTAGCTACTATATTTTCGCTAGGCTTTTGTGTTTCAAGAATCGGCTTTTCTGTAACAACAATACGCTCAACAGGAATCGGTGGTTCCTGCCGTACATCTTTCGACTGTACGTTCACCGATTTATCAAGAACATTCAAGTCTGGCAGCTGATCTATTTTCTCTAGAAATGTCATTTATATTATATTCTTATATATGCACGACATAAAATTAATTACCTTTATTAAGAAATCCATTAATAATATTTAGTACCTTTAATATCTGGTAGAATCTCATGATTATGAGGAATATTTACAACTGCATTAAGATCATCTTTGTTTAAATTTAATTGCAAACTATTAATTTGATTGTGTGGTTTGCTTGTTGTTATTGATACCTTTGTATTACTCGATTCTTCCAAAGCATACAAGTTTGCATATGTACTCAGAATCATAATACAAATACCGATAAATAAAATGATCTAAGTAATATACAGATAAAACAATGTATAAATAAAATACACTAGCAATGATAAATGCATTTAGCAATCCTACCTGTGCCAGTAGTCTTTCATTAGTATGTTTGCTACTAATCGATATAAAAAATATTGCTGGGAAGATCAAGCATATCATAACTCCAATTGTGGATCCCACTAAACCAAGAACAAACTCTATATTTGGTATTAAAATACCAGTAACCAATGAAACAGCTACAATTGCTATGGTAAGACATCTGAACCTTGATTCCGGTAAATAATTTACAGATGGTTCGTGACTATACACCTGTAAGGAATTATATTTCAATTAGTAACCAATACTGTATTATTATTGCATATAACTGCGTTTTGTACAAACCTTACGAAATAAGAGAGAATTTAAACTCGCACGACATGGGAAAATGACTAGGGGGAAGCTAAATGCAATAGAGAACACAAAACCCATTTTGATCATTTCAGATGACAAACTAGGTTCAAAGCTCATTAATACATTGCCTGAAAATTACATATTGCATCACACTTAACAGTACCTGAAGGGATAATATGTATTTTAAATTTTTAAAGTACCTGTAAAAGGTTGAGTACAAAATGCAATATATCCAAAAAATCCAACACAGAGATACACAATGGTGCATATATTTAATGCACCACGTACAACCTCATTCATTTTTTCCAAAGAGACATTTGGAATAGTTTCATATATTTCAAATAATTGAGTCTGGCAGAATAAAGCCATAGAAAAAATAGGTATACATTGTAATATACCAGACGGTCTCCAATAATATACATGCTCATACCAATCTCCAGCAAAGATATGTTGCATTGACTCTGTCACTATCTAAAAGAAGAAAATACTAATTAATCGATGAATTAAAACTTTATACGGAATGAAAAAGATTGTTTACCTTTAATACAAGACAAAGATAAAATATAATTGTAGCGGTACAAAGGCTGGACAAACTATCAATGTTTCGAAGTAATCCCAAAGGTAAAACTATGAAAATACTTGTTGTTACAAGCAAACTAGTTCTAATATCTTCTGGACTTTTGTTTAATACTTTTCCTACTATTTGTGGTCCTAAATCACCCATAATAACAAAAAAGGCGATGCATGTTCCCACAAGAAATCCAATGATAAACAATTCCACCAAGAATTTTCCCATGTGACCAAACGCGTGAAATGCCAAAAGTTCAAAATTTCTTCTTCTCGACATCACAGCAGACTTAATAAGGAAATGACATGCAAGTCGAGATAAAAGGCTACTTAACAGTAAAACCAAAGTAGCCAACATAATACCGCATTGCTTAAAACAGAATGGCATAGCAAGAACGCTTACTCCAATGATACTGTTTGCAAGAGTCATAACATGTGATAACTGAGAAATCATTTTCATAGATGTATATGAATCTAAAGGGATTAAAATTTATAACGAAACTTGCATTGACCGATCGATCGAAACTTTTTGGGTGTTTTATATATAACAATCGTTAGATTCGTCTCATTCGAATAAACAATATTATGCTGTTTGACGATAATATTAACTTATGTGTAAACTACAGTCAGTCATGCATCGTTTTCATGTTTTAACACACAAGCTTGCTCGAATATAAGGTTAGAATTGCAGTTTCGTTATTTAATTTCGTACCACCGACGGGACTACGTGTAGAACGAATGGTATAATTCGTTATCATATTGGACGTATCGAAGTTGCTCTCCGACCGTTATACTTTTGATAAGACACACCTCTTGTAATCAAAATTGTAAAAAAGCATAGAGCAACCTTTCGACTTCTCAAGATTACCACCATTTTGATAGAACAGAACACGCGCTCCACTAAGTCGCGTGGCGAGAAAAGTTAACACACTAATACACGCGGTAGATTTCTTTATTTTTTATTATAAATATTTAAAAACATTTGTGTTATTCATGTCTGGACATAAATAAATAAATATATATATATATATATATGTATCGGTATGTGTGTATGTTTGTGTGACCTGTGTGTGTACGTGTGTGCATGTGTTTTGTTTATATATATATATTTATACATATATATCGTAATTGATCTATCTCAAATCGACTTAGATATACGTAATATTATATTGAATTTGTCTTTGCGTGGTGATGGATAATTAATTACAAGTAATGGTAGTAATTACAACTAGATCAATCGACATATTTCTCTTTCGATCTGTCGTCGTACAATTTGACAAGTTTAGTTTTCTTCTGAAATATTCTTGAGGCTTAAAGATTTCAATTTTATATACACAAAGTTCTCAATTTTTTTTTTATTCTCGCGTCAAGTTCTACCGAAACGCGTTTGGAGGGTAACACTATTTCTTTTTTCCATTTCTTTCTTTTCTGAACAAGAATGTTTTTACAATTTTAATACAGAAATATAAATCGAGCAAATCATATTCGTAATATTAAACACTTAAAATTACTTCTGGTTAAGTTATAATCAAAGTTCTACAATCTACACCCGAATTTAGTATGTTCATTGACCGTTTTTCCTAATTTCATCAAACTTTCTTCTTCATTGATTAGATCAACTTCTCTCATATAAAATAAAATACTTTATATATCAAAAAGAATATCGTTATGTAGTTATATATGTATATGTATATGTATTATTGCATGTAAGATTTCGTTTAAACCTCATTCTTTGTTATGTACAAGAATAGGAAGCAAAAAAATTTGTTAATCCATAATACTTGCTCGCGGTACAGTCACTTTTTCGATTTTAGATCACGCATAATTAACGATTTTATCAAGATCACATTGCGAGTAATGGTTAAGAAGAAATGGGACACGTACCGTCCAAAATGTTACTAATAATTTTTATGTATTTACTTGATTCATCACGACGTACTAATTGTAAATCTGACATATCTTGAAGTATCGTCTGTCATTATTCTATGATTTCATTGGAAGCGTCGAATGAATGTTATAAAATATAGTTTTCATCTCGGTGAAAATTGTCTTATTAATTAATGTTCCTGCTTTCATTTGACTGACTCAGTGGGTACATTCGTTGGTATACGTGGATATGAAAATGGTTTTAATCAAATCACAAAATTAGACAGACTGTTCAAGATACTATTCAATTCGAAAAATATTTCAAGAGTCGATCATTCGGTGAACTGTTAATTTAAGAATATCGGAAAACGTCTGTAAATTTAATAAGTCAGCAATTAAAATTGCAGAGCGCTTGGAGTCAATTACACGCTCATACGTGTACGCGATAACAATGTCGCTTACCACGAATTCAATCAATGCATGCTAATATTTCCATCGAAACGCAAGAATTCTGAATCAGAATAATGAAAATTTCGAATCGTATACTGAGTTCGAGGCAGCGAACATCGTTTTGTTTCATGACTTAAGTTACCTATACTTATCTATACTTGATTTAAATAAGGACTTTTTCCAATTTCTTAAATGTTCAACAGATAGACATTTATCAGGGATTCGCCCCGCCATCTTTCTTCGTTTCTTCGTTTGTAATATTTCCTTTCTCGTCTTTTTCATTTTCTGTAAAATATTCAGTTCAAAATCTTGTTGTAAAAGTACAAATAAAAGTAGACTCGTACGTAGCGAGATACGCATACGTTTATGTACCTTTTGGTTCTGATTTTATGTCTTCTTCTTTTTTGAGATCACCCTCTATGCCTTCTTGACCTTTCTCTAAACGTGGTCGTTTTCGGGAACCCTAATTGAAAGAAATTACAGTTTCATTGTGTGCATGAATATATGTAAGTCACATGTATTATTAGATAGAACGAAAGAAAAACGAAAAAAAAACAAAAAACGAAAAAATAGTAAACTGTTTATGTCTGCAGAAATAGAATTTGTTACCTTAAATGATCTATTGTCTCTTCGCCCTCCTTCTCCTTCCTCCTCACTATCACTATATTCGTTCTCATGTTGTATCCTTTTATCCAGATCTCGTTGTGGTAATCGTTCATCTGGATTTACTTTTTCCTCAGCCTCTGAATCTTCGATAACCGCACCATCTTCTGGGATGGGTTGAACTTGTACGCCTGGTGCATGTGGTAACATTCGCAAGTTTTCAAATAATCTGGTTCTACAATACATTTGAAAAATATGAAATAAGGAATACTTTCTACAAAATAAATGCTTACAATTTATGTGTCAAATATTTCGATATAACATACTTAATTTTTTCAAGATATTCAGGTGTGTTTTGGTTCGCCATATTCGAAGGACTAATGTGCAGTTTAAAATCAGGTCCAAAGTATTCAAAATAATCGTTATACGGTAACTCATTCGCAATTTCGGAACCGAGAGCTACCGATGTTTCGTACGTCCAACATCTCGAGACATTTCTTATTGTATATCCACCACCACCGACCATTAAAAACGGCAAATTGTATTTCTTCACAAATTCAACACATTTACCATGACCTCTAACTGTTAAGTTAAAGCAACCCAATCTATCTCCTATAAAAAATTCATAACAAATTAAAACAAATTAAAACAATTAACAAATTAAAATGTGATGTGATTTTTACAAAGTTATGCATATGCATAAGTTATACCTGTCAAGGAATCAGCACCACATTGTAAAACAACAGCAGAAGGTTGAAAAGTTTCCATCACTTTAGAAATAATAGGTACAAATATTGACTCATAACTTTCGTCGTCCATCCCATCTCTTAGCGGGATATTGACTGCATAATATTTTCCCTGTTTAAAAAGAATAATGTATCATTGTGCCACTATATAAAAAGCAACTACTAGTATTTAGTTTTTAACAAATTTTTCACCTTTCCTGCACCAATATCACGGAGATCGCCTGTACCAGGAAAATATTCACCATATTTATGGAAAGAAACTGTCATCACCCTATCGGTGGTATAAAAAGCTTCCTCTACACCATCTCCATGATGAACATCAATATCAATATATAAAACTCTTTGATGATACTTGAGCAGTTCCAGGATTCCCAAAACAATATCATTTACATAACAAAAGCCAGATGCTTCACTCTTTTTGGCGTGATGTAATCCTCCCCCCCAATTTATACATATTTCAGAAGCTTGTTTATTAAGTTTCACAGCAGCAGCTACAGAACCACCCGCTGATAATTGACAAAACTCGTATAAACCATCAAAAACTGGGCAATCTTCTCCTACATTAACTGTGAAAAGATCAAATTATATTTAGGAAAATTTGCCTCCAGCTACAATACTATTTGTGTGTTAATTATAACACTTAATTAATACAGATATTTGTGTAACCTTACATCTTTGCATTTGTTTGTTATATTCGGACATGTTATCAGGCCTTATGGATCTTAAAAACCTAATATATTCATCACTGTGAAATTTTGTCATTTCATCTGCAGTAGCTTTATGAGGTCGCTAGATAAAAAAGAAAAGTAAAATTATTTAAACACGGTAATGAATTGTATAATTAAATATATTCAATATTAAATACATAGATCTATAACTATAACTATATCTATATCTATATCTATATCTATATCTATATCTATATCTATATCTATATCTACATCTATATCTATATCTCTATCTATATCTACATCTATAACTATAACTATAACTAAATCAAGTATTCTTACATATATCTCCATTTTCCTGTAGAGACCATAATTGAGAAGTAAATTATGTGTCATCCTTATACGATGTGGCTTCATAGGATGTCCTTGCCCATAGTAGTAATTGCCTATATCACCTAAAGCAAGGTTTTGCATTTTCATTTGTATCATTTTATTACAAAAATACACAAATGGTGAGGCAGCTTAGCTTTAAATCATTTCAATGATCTTAGCCGTGTAAAAAAATACACTAATGTCTATGTTGCTAGGAATGTACGGTCAGCCGAAATATACTTGAGAATCTTTCGCGTAACTAGTAAAAAAGAATATTATCCTTAATAGAAATGATTAAAGCTATTCCGCTTTTCGAAAATTTGAAGTAATTATAAGGTAACTGTGTAATTTTACGTCCTTGTGTTCATATTTACTAAAAATTTTATACAATTTCAGAATAGCTCGCCATAACCTACAATTACTTTGATATGATCAGGATATTGACATTTTTTTTACCGAAAAGACTTCAATATTGAATAAAATCAACTATAACGAAAAAAATAATTCCTGCAATACTTAGTTGCTGGATGAATACAACTTATAATTCATGATTTGTTATTATAATGTCGGTTTGCTATGAAATTTTGATGCTTAAATATAACCGACACATCGTGGTCTGGTGAAAACGAATTTAAAATTAAATTAAGTTTAATATGTTTCCCTTGGAATCGATCAGAAAAATGGCAAGGAACATTAAGCGATAGCGGAACGGTAAATATATAGATAGGTACATAAAGCCGACGCTCTTTCTTCGTTCAAGTACGGTAGCACGAAGCTTTACCTGTGAATCTTTCGTGTTAGCGCTCCTAAAACCGTACAAGAAGGTAGAAAGAACGATAGAAATATCAAGTATCCCGAACAAAAAAAATGTTCCATGAAGTCTTAAGAATATGAGATTTCATTAGTACGGAAATGCTTTAAATTTCATAATTGGATATGAAAAGAATCTGTTGTAGGCGACACAAACGCGGATAGCACAAACACATTTTGACAATCTCTTCGTGCGTGTATAATGTTTTCGCGGGATCATGAATTATTAGAAAATTTTCTAATTCTTTCACTCACTGTCATAGTAGTAGCAAACACGCTTCTTGCTGTGAGGTAAAGTTGACATTTTAACCGATTTCTTTCTGGTAAATAGGAAAATATCTGATATGAATCAAACGCGGACCGCGGAGTGTCGCGGCACCCACCGACAGAACACAGCGTCACTAGATCTGTCGTTTGCGCATGCGCAATACTCAGTAGTTAAACTTTCAAAGTTTTAGTACAGGTGTCGTTTTTGCTTAAAACTAAACTTAACCATAAAACGAATGATGTTGAGAATAGAGACGTTGTTACCTAAAATTATAGCAATGAGTAGCTTCGAATATCAACCTAAACCTAGAATGTTTTGTTGCGTTACGCCGTTCGCGGTTAGGGAAAATTTAGGGAACTTTACGTGGGTAAAGTGCCCGTGGTGTACTAAGGTACTCTGCTCGTGGCGCGTGAAATAAAACTTATACTTTTGGTTGTGGAAATTTCGACTTCTGCTTTATTTCTGAGTTTATAAGTAGGTTAAACGTTCGAGGTTTGAAATCGTTCTGCTTTTTCGTTATAAATCTCGCTCGTTGTCGGCTCGCATCCCCTCTTCACTGGTCCTGTTTTCTCCTTCCGAGTCTCCTTGGGCCAATGGTGGAGGAGATCTGGTTAATGCGCGAACGATTCCATGCGCATATGCTGAGAGAAAGCGCGGGACCCAGAGAAACACACAATGTTCTCGTAAAAGCGAACGCGTCGACAGCTAACAATCGAATTCGCCAAAGTGAGGACCGGATGTAACACGTGACCTTTTGAAGAGAATTTATGGCCCCTTACAATGTATCTGGTTTGCCGAAGTGAGGACCAAATGTAGCCCGTCTCAATCTTTGGAAAAGAATTTATGGCCCCTTACAATGTATCTGGTTTGCTGAAGTGAGGACCAAAGATGATTCTAGCTGAAAATAACAATTCTCTAGTTTCCGACTTCCTCTTAGCTCGGCCGTCCGCGTTGAGTGTTTTACAATAATATACTGTGTCTATAATGTTCTCGCTAAACCGTTCGTAGTTCCCTCTCAATTTATGAGCTTCCACCACGGAACGCAGCTGCAGCTATCCTTGCCTGGCGTTACCGTCGTACCGTGCCTATCCATTCACGCGATAGCGTTATAGTTTAATGCAGAGGTGTCGAATTGCTAGTGACATGCTCCCGTCATGCTAGTGACTCGGAACAGTTTCTCTCGCTACCTCTACTCAAGGAGTTGCTCAAGATTGTAAGGAAGTTGTGAGCAGTTTTATGTAGTGTTCAATACGACAGGTAAAGGTAGGTATGGAGTGGGTAACTTTTCGTAAGGGAAATGTCACTATGGTGCCGCGGGCACCTAAGTACACACCTATATATAGAGCGTTGTGTATAAGAACAACGATTGTATTATTTACGTATTATTTTATAGATTGTATTATTGTTCACGAGGTTTTATACCTGAGTACCTATATAGGTACTTACACAGCTCGGACAACTCTTAGAGCAAGGGTATCTAAATCAGTGCCCGTGGACACTCTATATACGTATGTATATAATCCGTGTTCTTCTTGCCTGAACAATTTTCGCGCGCTTTTGGTAGCCTTGTCGTACTTTTCAGTTGGTCTTTGTTATTAATTATTGGATATGGATATCATGACATGTGAGTAAATTTTGTAAGAAATAAAGATACAATGAACTGTGAAATGTGCTAATAACAATGTCCTTAACGAATAGAAGCACAGGACACGAATATAAAAAATATTTACGTTGTTTTAGCACGGCTTAATATATCGGATTGGACGCCTGAATACTTTCTTGCTAACAAGTCAACATGTAACGTCAATTTAGAAAATCCTGAAATTGTGAAGCAAATTCCTTGCCTTAACTATGTACCGCTACATTATTTTACTGACCGTCAGTTGGTCAGATTTCAAGGAATGGTTCAGGATATGTACAATCCTGAATATTATTTCCAGCAGTACGAAGTTAAGAACACTCTGTCCAAAGCACAAGAAATTAGATCTGGAATGTATGCAGACTCCGCTCGATGCTTGGTACTTATACAAATAGTTTCTTATAGCCCTTTGGTACACAGCAATCGATCCTTGTCCAAATTCTATGGACATTTTGGATTAATGTCAGGGCTTATAAAAAAATGTGGATGGTAGTTTCAGGTGTGAGATACTAGAAGAACAGTTTATCTCATGTATAAAACTGCCAACATTGTCTTATTTTTGATGTGCATGTTTTGTAATTATCTCATCCTTTTTATATTCTTACTTTGATTAAAGTTTCATTTCATTTATGTTTCTATTAGCCACATGAAGAGATCTTGGTGGAGTCTGAAAAAAATTGTAGTGCCGAAAGACATACTTGTGTTGTTATATCAACACCTGGTTTAAACGAGTGGGCAAAAGAAAGGTATGAAAAATCCTCTTGTTTAAATTTGAATGCAGTCACAAATTGCAAAAGGAATTTAGAAGAAAGTACAGAGGAAGCCATGGATTGTTCCGAACCAGTTCGTAAAAAAGATAGAATTTTATTAAATACAGAAAGCACAGAAAACAATGTTAAGGAACATAATGAAGATAGACAGAATATATTTTCAAAGGAGTATTTATTAAACTTCCCAATTCCGATAGATGATGGTAGAACATGTATCATCAAGGTTGGGATAAATTCTTTAAAGTTATTTATCAAACTTTTTGTACATTTGTTAGAGGAATTTTTCTGATATATTTTTTTTTGTACATGTTTGGTGTGGGTTCTTTGGTTCACAGATATACGACGATATGGCTTTAAAATTGAATGAAGTTATTGAAATAATAGGTTTCGTATCTTTAGATCCATTTATAAATGCTTATGATACAGACGAGACTATGACAGAAGCAGAAATGAACGTTCATCACCCTCCCACATCTTTAGTCCCTCGAATACATGCTATCAAATTGTCTCGTTTGTCCAAGGAAATTGAAAGTGCTCCAGAAATTATTTCCAAAGCAAAATCAATAAGAAACCATCTCCACCTAGTATTAAGTAATATTCTATTTGGGGATCGCCTAGCTGCTGATTATTTGATCTGTCATTTACTTTCGTCGATGTAGGTATTTATTTATGGATAGAGAATGAAAAAAACCGAACGATATTAGCAAAGTATCATTTCTTTTTAGTTACATGAGAAGGGATTACTTCTGTCTTGGCACTTATCCAATAAATATAACACATTTTCCTGCTAATGAAAACAAAACATTTGTGGAAGATTTGTATAAATTTTTAACAATGTTTGTGGAAAAAAGTCATTTGTTGGAGATAACTTTGGAAAATTTGAATGATTTAACTTTATCGCCAAAGTAAGTATTTGCGTAGATATGTAAAAATCGTTAGAACGTCGTTCAAATGGTGAAATATTAATAAATAACGCGACTCAACGCTCTATATATTTCGGATATGTCTAAACATTGTTGTTTTGTTTATAGAAAAGACTACGATTCTAATAGATTGACCAGCGGAGTGCTTCAACTTAGCGACAATACTCATCTCGTAATAGATGAAACGAGATTAACTCCTGGTCAAGTTTCGCAGGCCGGTCGAGAAAATTACAATACAATCTGTGACTTGATTAATTTCCAAAAAGTAACGTACAACTTTAAATTTTATAAGATGGAATACGAAACGGATATTCCGGTCTTAATTTTGTCGGAAGCCAAATCATTTATTCCCGTGCGTAAGAAATTTAAACGAGCTATTTCAATAGTTATTGCATTACCAATGATACCAAATTTATAAAACAACAGATTTAAGTAACGTGCACGCTTGCTTTAGTGCCAAAATCAAGTGGTGTTAAAGATAGACGCGGAATCGAAGAACGTTTATCCACATGTAATAGAAGTTGCAGAGCAATATCTAAAAGATGAAAATCGATTGAAAGATATACGTCAGTACTTGAAAGTTGTGAAGGACGTAAAGTTCCAGTTTAACGATGATATTGTGAAGGTAACATTACAGGCATTATTTATAATAATATTTATTTATCTGTCTCCTTTTTGTTTCGTTTTGTTACTTGTGCTTCTACAAAATAGTTGGGCATTCGTTCTACTGTTTCGTTGTTTTCTTTATTTCTCAAGGAGGTGCAGAACGATTTTGTGCAACTGAGACAAATTCATAAAAACGTGAATGTCGATCATTTACACTCGTTAATGATATTGGCCAGATTGTTATCTTTATCGTACGGATCAAATACTTTAACCACGGAGTATTGGAAGATGGCTGTTCAAATGGAAATGGAACGATTGGATAGATTACCGAAAAAGAAGGAGGCGTAAATCCTACGAAGATTACGTGGCACGATATTAAATGTGTATTCCTTGTATTATGTTTCAATGGATCATTTATGGACTTTATGAAGTTTATCATTCTTCGCGTATATCTCTCGAAACGATTACACCAAATTAAAGAACACATAGCGATGTTAATCAGGTGAGGTTCGAAAATTTGCTAAATTCCGTTTCGTCTCGAAGCGGAAATAACAGATAATGGTTGCTCGTCGGATATTCTTGAAAAACATTTCCAAATTGGAAGTATTTTTAAGAAACTTTGTATTTCCCGTTTATTTCACGTATCACGGGAACGACGCTTTCGCTCTTTTCGCTTCTCGTCGCCGTGCCGTTCGTTTTTGTAACGGTCTTAACGATATTTTCTTTCGACTTATTCGTTTATACGACAACACGGTAATTAAACTGGATGAATGGTGAATTTACATGTTTTTTTCTCGTAGGAACGGATTGTCAGTTTCTCAAAAATTTACACCCCTTACGGTCTTCATCCGGATCGATAAACTTGGCTGGCATCAAACACGTTGATAGATTTGGCTCTCCTCTCCTCGCGTTCTTTTCGAATTATTTCGAGTCCTTTCTTCGCGGCTTGAGTGTACCTTTTGGACAACGCCGCCTCACCTTTTGCTCCTGGAATGTGACCGGTATAGCCAACGATCGGTGGCTTTTCCGGAGAAATTTCATAATCTGCAAGAGGGAGAAAGAGACACGTCTAGTTCGCGCAGGATAAACAAACCGATTATTCGCATTGAGACACCTACCAAATGTGACTAGATTTCGGTCACGGGTATAATCGAGTTCGTCGAGGACGGAAACGTCGACGGCGACATCGACGGCGACATTGTCCTCTCTTCTCCGTGATAAGAGGTTTCTGGAATCGCGTCTCTCGACTCGCGTCCTCGCCTCGTTTCTGCGTGTTCTCAGCTTCATTTGATTTTCACGCCATTCCCTACCGCCTTCTTCCACAGCTCTCATGAACGACAGGCCGTACCTGCTATTAAATCCAGGAATATATCCTATAATCGAACGATTCGAGATTTCATAATTCATAAACTCTCAGCTGGCGATAAAGTCGAGGAACATCGAACGATACATGGCTGAAACCGTTCAAATCGTTCGAACGACACGTTTACCCGTGTATCCTAGAATATACGGGGGTGTTTTGAACAAGTGGGTCTCGTTCTTCCAATCTCGTCGAATATCATCCCTCTCACATAGAATCGATCCGTTTCGTCGCGCATCCTTTCCAGAACTCCCATCTGGCCTGTAAGGTCCCGTCTTCAGGATTTTCTTCTGGAGTAATTCCTGCACGGGCGCAAACCACACTAATTCGGTTACCCACGTGTCCCTTCGAACGAAATTATTTCTATTCTCATTCCTCTTACCTTCATGATTTCTTCCGTGCTCGCCCCAAATCGCTTTCCGACTCGAAATTTTAGCGTAGGACAGTGTCCGGTGTAGCTAGGCGAGAGAAAAATAAAATCGACGGGAGCGTCGAGCGGTCGCGTCTCGTCTATTCGTAATTCATTGGTAACAATTTATCGGTATTTTTCGTGACACCGATTCTCCGCTCGACCAAAAGGAACGATCGCTTTCGAAAATGACGCATGCTCGTACAACTGTAAACGCGAATTACCGGTGACCCAGAAAATTGAGACGCGACACCTAAACGATTAAGATCGCGATCACGATCGAGCGGAAATTCGTTCTCGACTCGCGGGACCTATGAAGCGTTCCATGGTTTTGTTTCATCGTTCCGCTTCATCGTTCAAATGATCCTGTGAAATCGATTTCGATCGGAGTTGCGTAACAAACGCTTTTTCGGGAGTTGACGGCTATGTAAGTACTTCGATCTCCGTTTCCAAGGAGTTCGCGTTTTAAACGAGCGCGTCGTTATCTCGAAAAGTTTCCGGTTCGAAATAGTTTGAATGGACGAGCGTGTGAAAGTATCGATCAATCGGTGTTCCGATTTCGTCTTCAATCGTCGGATAATTTCGACTTGACTTCGACTTCGACTTCGACTTCGACTTCGATTTCGATTTCAATTTCAATTTCGATCAAACATTAAGTCCATCCAGATTTAGAATTCAAGGCCGAGGCAGATCTCGCAAACCGATTTATCCGACGATGTTAATTCGATTAGTCCTTTTAGCATGAAGCAATGAGTACACGAGAATTAGTCGCGATTGCAACGGAGCTTACCCGGGCAAATGAGCGCCGTAACTTTGCTCGAAGAAACGTTTCCTTTGTTCTTCGTCAATTGAGTCGAAAACCATCTTGTTGACAAAATTGTCGATCATGCGTCTACCCGCTTTATCATGTACCTGCGCGCTCGATTTCACGTTTTAGAACTCTGGAAAAGTTTGCAATCTACGAATAACGCACAAGTGCGTACGGGTAACGAATACACGTCGTACCTCGAACGTACAACGATAGACGAAAGGAGAGTTGCCTAGTTTAGGAAAGTTATCTAGTTCTTTCAGTTTCTGCTTTCTTTTCCCGTTTCGCGTTTTCCCATCAAATTTCCCGCGATTCCACGACGCGACGACCAGTTTCGATCAAACGAACGATTCGATAAGAATCGCGCGAGTCTCCGTCCTTTCTCCTCTCGGAGATGTTTGACTCTCTTTCTTTCCCTCTGCAGGCAGCCACTTCATTTTTAAAGGTGACTCTTCTATCGTAACACGAGACGGATCACGACGGTTCGAACGCGTATATTTTCTGTATTTTGGATTCTCGGTTAAAAAGCGAATTGGAAAGAAGAACGCGATTCGAACCGGGCCATTAAGGCGCTGCTAAGACGGTGTTACGATGGTCGCTACCGAAAATACGATGGTACGATGTCGTCGGGAACTATCTTCGTTCTCTGTCTTTCGTTTAGATCCCGGCCGTTTGATTTTTAATGCGCGAATTTCGCTTGAACGGCTGCACCGTGCTCTTCGTTTGCCGGTGTATCGGTAACTAGAGCGATTCGCTCGGCGATGATTGGTCTCCCAGGAGTAGCCCGATTACTCCGTTACCAACGAGAGAATCGATATACCTGAGGTGGAGGGGCTGTGAATGCATCGCGACTATTATTTCTGAAATCTCGCTTATCACTAGAACTACCAAGCATTTAAATCATCTTTTTAACATTTCTTTATAAATGCTAAAAGCGTGAATTTATTAAGGTTTCAATTGGTTTATATTTCAGTTTAAGTATTGCTAAATCAAATTCTTTAATCATCTTTTAAAGAAATGTCTACGCCTTTGTAATAATTGTAAAAGAAGAAATTAGGAATTGATCATTTTGACCTACCTGGTAGTTCTAGTGTTATATCCCTCTTCAGCCTTGTTCTCTCTTATTTCGAGTCCCTTTTAGCTTTCGAGCAAGTCGGTAATTTCTGGAGTTGAGTATCATTCGAGAAACGCACAAACGAAATGTTCACTTCGCACTTCACCTTTGCCGAAGAAAAAGCAATGTAATTGTTCGGTTATTGTGCATCGTGTAATAATACACGTGAAACTGGAGGTATGGTTGAATATGCAATTGCAGTTGTAAAATAACGAATAGTACCGGTAGTCGTTAACTAGTTTAAATGTACGTATGTAAGTATCACATACTTACGTGCATCGATTAACGCGCGTAAAAATAGAAAAGCAACATGGAACGTTTCAAATTCAAATTAGTTTCAACTTTTCGATATCTCGAGAGATGGCAGCGTACTCACGCTCAATCAAGATGGACGCATCCATGGTTTTGTACGTTTGTGTGTAATTTGTATTACAACCAATGTCAGTTACCGGTAATTAACAAAATATATCGCTAAACTGCTTCCACTCGGTACACCCTGCTTTTGAGGAATAACTTTTTAGGTAGATTGTTTAATGAATTTTTGCTGTTACTTGTTTCTAGGTTAAGTGTCGGCGGTAACGTGACGAGATCGACATGTATTCGAAAGCTTATAAACAATTATTTTGCGGCTGTACCAAGCGGATAAGCGGTACACCGTTTCGAATGCTTCACCAACGATACCATGAAGCTTTTCGCAATAAGCATCGTTCCTTGCGTTATTATTGGGGCGGTCTCGGTATAATGGTCGTCGGCTTAAGTTACGCAGCAGTACCTTTATACAGAATTTTTTGTCAGGTAATACACTACGTTACATTACATAACATTAATACAACAAATCCAAGAAACCCTTTTGTCGATAGTCGTATAGTTACGGAGGAACGGTGTCGGTTGGTCACGATGTCGGCAGAGTGAGCACGATGGAGCCCATCAAGAACAGAGTGATTAGAGTGTCGTTTAACGCGGACACCTCAGCGCAGATGCAATGGAACTTCAGACCGCAGCAACAGTTTATAAACGTCCGTCCCGGAGAAACGGCTTTAGCATTCTACACAGCAAAAAATCCATTGGATACACCTGTGACCGGTGTATCAACTTATAACGTAGTGCCATACGAAGCTGGACAGTATTTTAATAAAATTCAGTGCTTCTGTTTCGAAGAGCAACAGCTGGATCCTCATGAACAAGTAAACTCAATCATCTTTACCAAATCAATTTATTCTCAATTCTATCGCAAACACCAATGATCATTCTAACATGTTACAGGTAGACATGCCTGTGTTCTTCTATATTGACCCACAATTCGCAGAAGACCCGAAAATGGTGAATGTCAAGGAAATTACGCTATCCTATACTTTCTTCGAGGCAAAATCAGGAATAAAAATACCTCTACCAAGTTATTTCAAAAGCAAAAGTAACGAAAAGTAATTGTAATGACAAAAAGTGTGGTAAACTTGGAGCTATAATAGAATGTTATTGTTGAACAAACTGCCCGATGTTTTTTTTTTCACGAATGTGAAATGTCACTGGACCTAAATCTCTTTAGGAGTGCATTTCAATGATGTGAGATAACTGAAAATCATCTTGTATTGTTAGAATTTGAAGAGAACGTTGATCGGGTAAGCTCGTCGAAGACCAGATACTTTTTCCCGATCGATGTAAATTGCATCGATTTTCAAAGCAAGATCATGTTCCAGTGTCAAGCGTGTTCTTAATAATTTTTGCTGTTGATTCTCCAACTCTTTCAGCGCCTTCTGCATTCTCTCCACTTGATGGTGGATGTCGTCGATTTCTTTCCGAAGACTACAACAAGCATCGATACGTTAGATGTTGTCGAGGCATGTCGAGCCCAGTGTCAAACCGGAAAGTCACAGAAACGAACCTCATATGAGCATAGTCCCGGCAAAGCTCGATCTCTGGCCGATGCATTCTAGCCTCTAATCGAGTATGCGCTACTTTAATCACATAACTTTTGTCCGCGATAGCTTTATTCATCAGTTCTAAATTCTTCTCAATCTCGAATATCTCCTGCTGCACCTGCGACAAAAACGAAAGAACGAACGGACAAATGATTCAATTGGTAAATCTACTCTGGGTTTCACAACTACGACCGTATTCGCACTTTTTGTAAATGTTGTTCAAGTTTAGTTTTAGCTTCGAGCAATTCGGAAGATCTGTACGCCAATGCGTTGTTCGTGTTGTTCCAGGCATCCCACATTTCCTGTGCCACTTTAGTTGTGAGAACTTCTGCATTCGATCTCAACTGACTACATTTATTTCTTTTCGTTCGAGATTTCTCGACTATTCGGTTCGCTGCGTCCATCCAAGTTTCCTGCTCTGAAACACTAAAATCACTGAATCATAATTTTATTCCCCCGCGGAACAACTATTTCTTCCTCTTCGTTTCCCATGTATATTTTATACATATTCATACAAGTATTAGGAACATATTCTTCTTTACCATAGATCGTATTCGTTTTCATCGATTCTGGAATAATATTGTAATCCGTGACTATAATTATTCAATCTATGGCACATCGAATCTATTCCCAATGCATTTTCTTTGTTTTTCAGGTCCAGTTCCAACTGATTCTGGGAAGCTCTACAATCTCTAAGCTGCAACGAGAATTAGTCAAATTTCAATAGTAACAGTATTAACGATCAAATCGGATCTTCTATCAATTTTATGTTACCTGTTCTTTACATGTGTCCAGACAAGCTTCCAGTTTCTTTTTATTCCGATGCAAAGTCTCCATTTCTTTCAGCAAACATTTTTCCAGATCGTCATGGACGAGTTCTATACCTGTATAGATACGATAATTATCCTCGTTCCGTTTTCCATCTATCTATATATGTATCTAACTTGTCGTTAGTCTAGTTCCTCTATATCACCTTTTCTAGCTTCTCTGTGGTAAAGGCATTCCTCTGCGATGTGTATCGGAGCTTCAATGTCTTTAATGGCTTTTTCTAGAACGGAACGGCAATCTTGAACTCTTTCGATTTCCTGAAGTAATCTTTCCAACTCGGATGCTACTTCGTTTCGCCAGAAATTCACATCGTTTATTCTTTCTCCGAGCCTTCTACCAGTATCGTATTGTCCGTGTTGCACCTTTTCCTCCGCCTCTCTAACACATTAATCTCTGATCAGACATCGAAGTTATATCGGAGCAAAGATCCGAGAATTTTACTGAGATCGTCTAATGTGTGTTTATAATACCTAATAACGCGTAACGCATCGTTTCGTATTCTTTCCGAAAAATGTCTACACGAATCTGCTTCATTGTAGGATTTAACTTGTTTCTCAAACCATTCGTTGGGTGTGTATCGCGTATGAAGGGCGGTTGTCGTCGCGTGTGCAGGATTGCGATCATATCCTGTTAAAAGATTCGGGAACTTCAATGGAGTTATACCATTCCCAGCAGAGTTCTCAGACACCGAGCTCGTCACTCTAGAAGCACTAGTGAAGATGCGAATATGTGGGTAATAGTTGATTCCACCGATAAAGAAAATGATCGAAGCAATAAATCGATGAAAACTTACAATGGAAGAATTTCGACATTTTCGTAGCCTACGTTTTGACGCCAAGGTATCAAATTATGCGTATTATTATAATCTTTCGAGCAATATCTTCTTGCCGATTCGATGAAAGATGATGGAACGGTGTTTCTACTCCATGGTTGTAATTCCTACGAATTGAATCAATGCGGTCAGCATTAATCTGTTAATTGAATGATTTCTTCATAAATGATCTCAATTTCAGGCGATTTATCCGACGATAAACAAAGACACCTGTTACAGATGGTCCGACATGATTCAATGCAAAAATCTCTAGTTAAATGAATGAGAAAAATATGACAAAATTAAAAATTAATCGAAAATAAAGATAAATACGACTGACGAATATATTAGTCATCCCTGATTAACACATTCGTTTGAAGCTTTTAGATAAGTGAAAGCGTAAAGGCATTGAGATCGGAAATAAAATAATTATTTAAATTCATACATCTCAACATAATCTAGTCTTAAAGAGCAATAAGTGTACATATTTGACGAAATCTCGAAAATAAGCATAAAAGTTTATTTCATGCTTATTTTTATTCGAAATATTTATACATGTAAACTTTTATTTCTTCTGTCTTCTACGTTGCAATAAGATAGTAAAAATCATATTTTTTGCCAATTAGTGTTTCAAGTTAATCCTCTATTGATCGTATGCCCAAAGAATTATCGATTATGATTATTTAGTTATAATTCAACATGGCAGACGTACCTACTAACGCACCGCAACGTAAGTACACGTGTGCCCAATTACTCGTATTATTTCACAATACAGTGAATCGAGTGTTTAAATTATATTACGCCGACAATTACTTGTGCGTGTGAAACCAAATTTACAAAAAAATTACGAATGTGTTAATGAATTCAACAATTTTTATTTGTTAAGTAAGAGGTTACGCTACATTTTAGAGTGCATAGCTACATACTATGTTCGACGATAATTGAAATGATCACGCATCGCGAATTGAATGAATTAAGATGACTTTTGAAATTCTATTGTTCAGTTTATGAGGAGTTGCTTTTTTACATTTCTATCATTCGTTGCATGTGTAATTTTCTGCGCATTCTACACACACTCCAATTAATTTCTTTATATCTTTTGAAATTCAAAACATATATAGTATTTTTTTAGATTGTCCTGGTACGGCTAGCAAAGATGCTGGTAAAGCATCTATGTGCGCTGGTTGTCCTAATCAAACATTATGCGCATCTGGTTCCACGAAACAATTTGATCCAGATGTAGATCTCATTAAGGAGAGACTTTCTGCGGTTAAAAATAAGATACTTGTATTATCTGGTAAAGGTGGTGTTGGAAAAAGTACCATAACATCGTTGGTATCCAGATCTTTAGCAGCAAACAATCCTCATACAAATGTTTGTATTTTTGTCTATAAAAGTTACTCCATAAGTAGTTCTGATTTTTAGTATGATATTTAATTTTCTGGTAATACTACAATAATTTAATACTTTGTATCATTTTCAAGCACATGCAAAATAAGTAGTCGTTAAGAAAGCTTACCCTTTTTCTTATACCAAGAATGTCCATATTGTTTTGTATATCCATTCACGATACCATAGTTACCTTCAGCAGTGTAGGTAAGCTAAAGTCTGTAATGTTACTTCCAATGATGTAACTTTGACACTCGTACATATATAACACACATTGCACATAGAGTGTGCACTGATAATTTGTGTCTGTATGTTTTTGTATGTTAAATTGCATTAAACATTTGTCAATTATGCCAAGGCTTTGCTCCTGATACTTCATACTCTTAGATATCAGAAAAATATTGCTTTTTGATACACATGTGTATAAGTTTATACTTTAATATATAGTTTAATTTATATTTGTGTCATAAATTGTAATAGGTGGCTGTGTTAGACATAGATATTTGTGGGCCATCTCAACCAAGAGTATTAGGTGCATTAGGGGAACAAGTTCATCAAAGTGGATCAGGATGGTCACCAGTGGTGAGTTTCTCTTGTAAATGTAAATAATTTTATTTTGCATATTTTATACATTGTTTAAGTACATTCTTTATGTATTTTGTTGTATTGTTTAGTATATAGAGGACAATTTGTCTTTAATGTCTATCGGATTTTTACTTGCTAGTCCTGATGAAGCAGTAATATGGAGGGGACCAAAAAAAAATGGTATTTTCTCTACATAATTTTCTCTTTATGTAAAAATTGTGAATATATTTTACCCTGCATCTCATGATTTTTAGGTATGATTAAGCAATTTTTATCGGAGGTCGATTGGGGCAATTTGGACTACCTCATTTTGGATACACCTCCAGGAACATCTGATGAACATCTATCAGCAACATCATATCTTAAAAATGTTGGTATTACAGGAGCAATAATTGTAACAACTCCACAACAAGTTGCTTTATTGGATGTGAGGAAAGAGATTGATTTTTGTAGAAAAGTAAATATTCCAGTTTTAGGTGTTATTGAAAATATGAGCATCTTCATTTGTCCTAAGTGCAATGCAAGTATCAAAGATTCCGCAATGTTATCGTTTAATGATTAATTATTTAATAATTGTATAAAATCATTTGTAAATAGGACTCTGTTGAGATATTTCCTGCACTAACAGGCGGCGCCCGTATGATGGCCAAAGAATTGAATGTGGATTTTTTTGGTTCTATACCGCTAGATCCACTTTTGGCCAGATGCTGCGACGAAGGTAAAAACTTTTTGACGGAAGTTCCAGAATCACAGACCGTTCTGGCATTACAGGTTATTGTACAAAGTGAGTGTTTTAAAACGTTTATACGATCACTTGTATTCTGTATTATGTAAGCTTAGTGTTGCACGTTTTATTTCAGAAATTCTGGAAAAATGTGAGAATAAGAAAGAAATTTGTCAAATGAATTCAGCGTGAAAAAAATAACATATTCCTTTTTATATTAAAAAAAGAACTAGATGTATATTAAAATTCTGTATAAATGTAATAAATACCGACATACTTTCGTATATGTACCCGTTTTGAATGCTACAACATCAATGTATAATTTTGTAATGGCAAATTTACTATATTGTCTAATATAGTACATATATACGTATTTTGTACTTAACAAACATTTGAAACAATAATTTCAATATTGGAACTAATGTATTATATATTAAATGGAAATAATTATGAAGTTAACTTTTGAAAATTTAATGTATCATAACGATTGATAGAATTTTTATTTTAAGGGCTAAATTTTTATTTGCCGCCAAATATATACCTTGCTTCAAAAGTCCATAACTTTGAAAATATTAAGAATTTTAACTTAAAATTTTGCAGAGACATTCTTAAA